CCCGCGTTATCAGGAGGGTGTGGGTGGCGCCACATTTCTTGGCGAACTCCAGGCGGGACGAATCGATGTCTACAGGAAAAAAATATTCAAACTACTTAATTTCATTTCATGAATGTTCGAAACCAAAATGTATAGTAAACTCTTTTTTTTTTTTTTTTTAGAATAAAATGTTATTAAATCACTAAATTAACAAAAATCAATTGCACATTTGTAAATCTGATATCGCTACCTGTCATGCAGATGGCGGAGGCGCCTAGCGCTTTTGCGCACAGCATGGCACACAGACCAATAGGACCGGCACCCGTCACTAGGACTTTATGCCCCAGAGTAATACCGGCTCTCCAGCAACCGTGTAGACCAACGGAAAGTGGTTCCACGCATGCGCCTTCCTCGAAGCTGACATTATCCGCAAGTCTAACAAAAGAATCCCCAGATTATTCTGATTTTACTGTTAGGTTAAAAGGGAGAACCTGCATGAATAAGGCACAGTCTGATGATTCATATGACATCAATATTTAAAGTGCTTACTTAAACGTGAAATCTGCGGCGTGCACAAAGTACCTAGCCAGAGCCCCGTCGTCAGGGGGCGTGGCCAGGAAGTAAACTTTAGGACACATGTTGTATCGGCCAGACTTACAAAACTCACAAACACGACACGTGATGTGTGGGTCCACAGCAACGCGGTCACCTGAAGAGAAAACAATAAACCACATTGCACTTAAGGGTATTAAAATGCATTTTAAAGACTATTTTGTGTGCATCACATATTGTGTTTGGATAATTTCTCATAAAAGACACTATTTCATCTTTTGAGAGCAATGCTAGAAAAATGCGATTAGAAATCATCTCGAGTGTTCGAATGAGTTTACCTGTTTTCAGGTGCGTAACTCCCTCCCCCACCTTACTGATGACCCCGCTGATTTCGTGACCCAGCAGTAACGGTCCAGTGACCACAAAGTGACCAATGGCGCCATCTTTCCAGTACTTAACGTCAGAACCACATATCCCCACTCGTTGGACGGCGATTTGTACCTCTACAAAAACAGAAAATAAAAGTAACAAAACGATTAAATGCACAACACTAATGTGACTGACTGACTGTCTTACTTTCCAACGCATCATAAAATCTGCTTTGGTTAAGACCACAGTTTTCTTTTATAGTATCTCCCTCGAACATTGTATCTTTAACTTGCAAACGAAGACAAAATGTTACGCTCGGACATTCTGGGAGCTAAATTGTAGCTGCAATTACACTCCTTATGTTTTTAGACAAGCTTTTCTCCTTTGCATAATAGCATCAGTATAGAAATTTTATATAGAATTTTATGTAAAAATGCTTCTCTTACCACCAGGTCCTGGTTCTTTAATTGGAGAATCCACCTACAAAACAAACCAATGTACAGTGACACTACTAAAGAACAAACCTATGTACAGTGACACTACTAAAGAACAAATCAATGTACAGTGACACTACTATAGAACAAACCAATGTACAGTGACACTACTAAAGAACAAACCAATGTACAGTGACACTACTATAGAACAAACCAATGTACAGTAACACTACTAAAGAACAAACCAATGTACAAAACACTACTAAAGAACAAACCAATGTACAGTGACACTACTATAGAACAAACCAATGTACAGTAACACTACTAAAGAACAAACCAATGTACAAAACACTACTATAGAACAAACCAATGTACAGTAACACTACTAAAGAACAAACCCATGTACAGTGACACTACTATAGAACAAACCAATGTACAGTAACACTACTAAAGAACAAACCAATGTATAGTGACACTACTATAGAACAAACCCATGTACAGTGACACTACAATAAAATCCACCTACAAAACCAAACCAATGTACAGTGACACTACTATAGAATCCACCTACAAAACAAGCCAATGTACAGTAACACTACTATAGAACAAACCCATGTACAGTGACACTACTAAAGTACAAACCAATGTACAGTAACACTACTATAGAACAAACCCATGTACAGTGACACTACAATAAAATCCACCTACAAAACCAAACCAATGTACAGTGACACTACAATAAAATCCACCTACAAAACCAAACCAATGTAAGTGACACTACAACAGAATCCATCTACAAAACCAAACCCATGTAACCAAACCAATGTACAGTGACACTACAACAGAATCCATCTACAAAACCAAACCCATGTACAGTGACACTACATTAAAATCCACCTACAAAACCAAACCAATGTACAGTTACACTACAACAGAACAATGAGCAAAAGATTTTTTATCCTAGCAGTTTGGATTGTTGATTGTTCCGACAAATGTCGAGATGGCATAGGACTCATCTGCATAAAGGATGAATGTCATCATTTGTCATGCATTTATTGTAATATACTAGTATTCTTATCACGTGTGCATATGGAGTTTGTCAAACACGTTTGTTTCGATACGCAAAAGCATGCTCTACGAAAGAAACAAGGCAAGATATTTACAATCAAGTTGATGAAACAAGGTATCAACATGCTCGTTCAAAGTCAACATCTTGCTACATCAATTGTTGATGCAATAACTTTGTCAGCAAAAACAATTTGTTGAATTTTTATTGACTGACGTTTTAGAATTTCCTACACGTGATGTTAGGCCATTACTCTTACACTGAATTGCATAAGTTAATTCTAGTATACAGATTTTTTCGTTTGATCAACAAGACAAGAAACTGATGGTCAGGTGGGCGTGACCTGTCGACAGGTAAGCTCACTCATCCATGGCATCTGATCCCATCTCTGATGTTATAGAGGTCCATGTTTGCTCTGCTTCCAGTTTGTACTGTTTTAGAGGACATTTTGGCGTGTTTACTGTTCGATCGTTATCTCGATCATATCTCAACGTTCTGATTGCATCTTTGACATCTTTGATAGAAAGTTCTCTGACTATCATACTAATTAAGCAATTTACCATGTCTTAAATAATACTAGCGATGAAAAATGTATTATCAGAATTAGACACAGCTGATATCTGGGTGTTGATCATTTTTATATCTTTCCAATTCATGCATGGTTTTGGAGATTTATTTATTTATTTAAAGCACGACAAGCTTCCTTATCATGTAGGCCTATCATTGGGTCAGCTCGGTCCCTAGTTATGTATGAAGTTTGTTGACTGTAGCCACAGCGAAAATCTAGGACACTTCGTTGATAAAATTAGCTTAGTGGTTTTACATGTATAAGAAAAAAAGTTATGTACCCTTCAAATACCATGAATTTAGCATTGTTGCGAGCTGTATGAACATTTGGACAGTGGAAAGGATTATTAATCAAAAAAAAATTGAACAGTTATAAATTAACAAGCTTGATGCAGTGTATAATGTTCGTGGATTTTATATACCTACCAATCGTAAATCCCCTTTCTTATATAACACGGCGGACAAATTGCTTTCACTCATGCTCACTACAAAAAGTAAGGGGGAATAGTGAAAAATGCATTTCAGTTAAAAAACATTATTACGGTACCAATATGATGATTTGCATTATCAATTCATTTGGGTGAAGACAAGGAATAAAATCAGACCCAGTTTTTGTACTCACGCTTCTTTGAGTAGAACACAAGCAGAATGAAGCGCCTGACCTAAATATTGTAAGATAAATAAACTGCAGGAATGCCTGAAATAATCGGTTCAGATGAAACAAAGTGGGCGGATCCAATGTTTTAAACGATCTTAGTCGTACGGAATAGGTGGATCCAAACTGAAGTCGTCAGGTGATTTTTTTTTATTTTGGGTGGGGTGTGTTAGGGGGCTGCCCGTCAAGTAAACTGCATGATCAAAGAAAATATTAGAAAAAAAGACAAATGAAATAAGGGTATGCGACAAGTAACACCCATCCCCGAGGCCATCCCTGCAGAATGTCTAGATCTAAATGTCAAAAATAAAGAAATTTGAATACACTAAAAATTTAATTATAGTTAATTATATTAGCTTTAAGGAAAAAAATAAATCTCTTGAATAAATTGCTTAAAGTTAGCATGATATAAATGAGAAACTTGCAAGACCGGTGAGGTGGGTGGGTGTCTTTATTATTAAAGTAGCCCTATTTTGAAAGAACAGAAGCGCATTGAATTAACTATTATATAGTATCATATATAAATTTTAAATTCATAAAATTCATACATTTCATTGATACAAAACCAAAAAGGGCATTTTTGGGCGGCATACATTGCTATTTGACCGATTTCTTGAAACAAGGAAAATTTAAAATAAATAAATGGCGAGAGTGAAATAACGAAAACAAAAACGGGAAAGGGCGGTGGAGCGTAGTGGATCAGAAATTAACCCTTGACTTGGGAAGATGGGGAAAGGGGTACATGCTTTGTTCCTGCGGGATGGGGGTGGCGGGGGGGGGGGTAAGTCAGGTATTAACTATTAGGCATATATACAGATAAATAAAAAATTCTCTTGAAGCCTGAAGGTCAAAGGTTAGGAAACGTCATATTTTTTATGTTTACGATGGCCTTGACGTAATTTTTAAGGTCGAATCCAAGAGTTCCGTACAGATCGATATACGAGTTCATATTTTTCTAAGAGTTCTAGCTAGGTTTTAACAAAAAAAAAAAAAAAAAAAAAAAAAAAAACATAAAACAACCATACAGAGCTACTGATACAATATTTATCAATTACACTTTTATTTGCTCTCAAGTTGCTGAAAATCCCTGTCAAAACTGAATGGAATTTCAGGAGTGTTCTTGAAAACTTTAACAATATGTTTGATGTTTACATGAATCATTGAATGTGGTCAATCACATCTCTCAATTCCAACTTTGGTCCATAATCTTTATTGTTCTTTATAATGGCCATCAAACGCCACAGTATATTTTATCTCCTGAAAGAAATGCTCTTCTAGCTTCTATATCATTAAACGAATCAATTACGTAAGCATTAACATTACTTCTGTAAAAGCTCTTTTGCGTTGAAGGAGAGAATGTGCTTCCCGCAAGTTTTTTGTTGAATAAGTGAAAAGATCCAGTGCAAGTTGATGAAAGAGAAGCAGTTGTAAGGTAAATATGTATATAAGATATGATTTAGGCCGATGTAAGCAATTTTTCTTTGAGTAGTACCCAATATAGAAGCACGTACTCAGAGTACTAGCGAGATACCTTACTGTCCTACATAGTTCGGGCACTTACTCACCTACCTGTGTACGGGTATCATTTGAATGGGGGAAAATAAAGGAAAAGAAACTTGAACTGATTTAGATGTATGGTGAATATATATCAGATTATACTTAACATACTGATAATATGATAAAAACAAAAAGTTCGAGACGGTAGAGGAAGACTTGCGATTCTGAAGACTGACAATTTTTCATTGTTAGGAATTTTGCTGTATTCGTTTTAATCGTCGTTTTGTAGATGCAATTATGGCGACAAAGAGTCCAAGTTTAAACTCTCTCATGAGTTACCGTTTTGTCAAGAAGCAGGTTCCTAAACTTACGAGTGGCAGCGAGAGTTTATTCAGCTCGGAAACTAACGGCAGTGATTCTCCGCAAGGAGACAAAGAAATGAACAAACAGACAGACAGTCAAACTAGCAGCTGCTCCTCTGCCACAATTCTCTATTCTGACCAGGAAGGAGGGAGTCAAAACAGTGAAACTACCATTCCATACAATCCAAGCCAGAACTTAGGGAGTCAGGATCCCTTCCTACAAAACACAGATGGTACAATAAACTTACTTACTTACATTTAACCTAATTTTCCTCTTCACAAAGACACTGTATATAATAGAAGGGGGCATTAAATATTCAGCAATGTTCTCAAAAACTTGTATTCAGTGTATGACATTTGGCGACATTAACTAGAAGACTGTAAATTAGCTGGCAAGACTACATAGAAAATTTAAGCTGCCAAAAGCAACTGTAACAAGATAATGAAAATAAATGAACTTTTTACTTACAGTGATTAATCTGTCACTTTATAGCATCACCTAAAACATTTGCCTTTTTTGGCCTGCTTAAATCACAGTGATTATCGGAAAAAAAAATTTGCATTCAATTTAATTAATTCATTATAATTTAATTTTGTTTGTATTCTAGCCTCTCTTTGGTTGTTTTCCAAAAAGGAACGCAAAACATTTTGTATAATCTGGTTTGGTATGGGGACACACCCCCTTGTCGACCAGCTTAATCATCATATCCCTGCAATCCCCTCATTTCCAGTCCCCGGAATCTGTGGAAAATTCCAGATTTAATAAATGTACCTTCAACTTTAAACAATTACTCGTTCTTACCTCATGTAAACAAACATCATGGCTGCTAGATCTATATATCAGTTATTACCTCCCCTGGCTTCAAATCACTTCCGTTACTACGGTTCTATTATTGCGCGGTAAATTTGAACTTATTAAAAGCAACACAATTTTACATCAAAAGTTGTTTAATTATTTTAAAATTAAATTATAAGGAATGACTTTGATTCTTGGCCATATTATCGAGTATAATCTTGTTTGGGTCAGTTTACGCTTTTTTATAATCCGCTTCGCGGATTATAAAGTGTAAACTGACCCAAACCAGATTATACTCGATAATATGGCCAAGAATTAGAGTCATTCCTTAAATAATTGAAATTGCTTTAATGTTAGTCTTTTGAGGTATTACTAGAACTAGAATTTTTTTTTCTTCAAAAATCCTTGGAATATAATATGCAAACAGATACTGATGATCTTTTGTGTTGATTTCAGAGGGGCTGACATGTAGTCCAGAGTCCCCAATATTTCGTGGAAAGGTCAAAGGGTCAAACAGGAATTATATAAAAGATGAAGACACAGAACCTGGGTCCTCCCCTTGGCTTTCTAAAGAGCAGGGTATAGTTAATGGAACAGCCTCTACCTCATCCAAACAAAGGTAATATTATACTAACCTAAAGAGTAGAATATAGATAATGGAGCAGCCTTTACCTCATCCAAACAAAGGTAATATTATACTAACCTAAAGAGCAGGGTATAGTTAATGGTGCAGTCTCTACCGCATCTAAACAAAGGTAACATTATAGGCTTTGATACCAGATTCGATCATCATATAAAGGTTAATCTACATATGTCATAGTTTCAGATGGTAGGTGGAATCTCAAGCTGTGTAAAGGAGATCCAAAAGTATCATTCTGAAAGCTCTGCTAGTCCTTAAAATATCCCAATACAGTGGATTCCATTTAATCAGATAGTGGTTAAACGAATATTTCGGCTAATCTGATACAATATCAGAGCACAAAACCATTTCTTATATATTTATTAATAATTTCATCTGATATTCTGATAGGAAAATATGGGATTTTCGTTTTATCTGATACAAAAATTTCGCCTATCATAGTGATTTTCATAATAATTGTCTCGTTCACACCTCTACCTTCTGTATGTAAATCCTTTGTTTACACAAGTTTGACACTTCCAGACACGATAATGAGGGGATTAGTCACGGCTGAGCGGGCGAGCACCTTACCTGTGTTAACAGTGGGCACACTAGATCGATATGTTTTGATAACAATGGTGATGACCGGCTTGGGTGTTAATTTAGATCATTGATAATTGGCTTGTGTGCAGTTTTGTTTGGTGTGAAGTTTTAATTATTGAACTGTTCAGTTTGAATATGACACTTCGCTTGGACATTAAATTAAAATAATCAGAATTAGACTGTCTATTAAATGGTAGCGCTTGGTCATTTAGTTGAATATGTGTTCACTTTTAAGTGCAATTTTAAGAATTAAAACACATGCACTCCGTATAAATATACGTCTGAAAATTAAATCCATCAATGAAAGTGACATAACATACAAGTAAAGATGAAACAATAAACTTTTTTTTATTTATTAATCAGCAATCCGGAAAAAAATGGTTTACGTAATATAGTCATGTATTCAATCAACTTCCGTTTTTCCAAAATGGATGCCATCAACGAATGGGATGAATGTAAACAGGTGCCTGGTGCTAACAAGATTTATAGAGATGGAAATAAGTTTTATACTTCAATTAAAAACAAATTATTCATACAAAATCACATTGGACTTGTTATTATAAATTAATTGAAATAATTCATTTCCTGACTTGGTACATTCATCGAACGAAAACGAAAGTACAGGTACGTAATACAACCTTGTTGAAATTGTTACTTGTGTACTGTAGATCTGCTGTTTGTACGGAAATATTGCAATCGGCTATTCCAATATTCGGCTATACGGATAAAATTATTCTGACAACCTGACTATCTGTTTAAACGGAACCCACTGTAGTTTGATGTCTTTTGATATATCATACATTTTTTTCTTTCTTGGTAAAGGTTTGTTTTGTACAATCTATACTTATTTATAGAAGGAAGTCTAAGCAGGAGGTCAGACAGGGGTTTGGGGACGACCTGACCCCGGACCAGACAGAGGCTGTCAATCACCTGAAGGCGATGTTCCCCGACAGAAGTATGGAGGTCCTACAGCAAGCTCTGGAGGCCCAGGCCTGGAATGTTGAGGATGCCGTCGATCACATGATTGATTCAGGTAAGTCACATGGGGTCTATTAATGGAAAAAAGTGGCAATTGTTGTATAATGTTGATGAAATCTTTTCAGTTGGTGGATGAATAAGAATGATGGAAAGAAAATAAAATCTGACTTTCCAAATGCCTTGTAGGAATGCTGAGATGAATTATTTTTGCAGACATTTTCATTCAGTTGTTTTTTATATACTAGTCTGTTAGTAAGACAACTTTTCAAGTGTAAATCAGTTGCTTTAAACTATTGGCAAAATTAACAAAGCTGCTGCCTACTTGTAGCCAAGGTCCTGAAAAAGAAAGGGGCCAAAAAGCGAATTATACGTCTGGTGAGTAGTGACTCAGATGAGGAAGGAGGGTCACCAATCCATCAGCCCTCCAAAAGGGCACGACCTCTAGACTCCATTGACCTTGACCCGACCCAGATCTCAGAAGAGGAAAAGAATGAAAGGGTTGTCTTTCTTCAGGAGGCATTTCCTGGGAAAAAACGAAGGGTGAGGTCTTTTCTGAAAAACAGTTGAATGAAATAATTATTCTGTATAATTTTATGACTGAAGCATTTTTATATAGGGAAAACTGTGTTTGGTGTAAATGATTATGTAATTTACCCAGCTAGAGAGTACATGTATATGATACTTTATAGATTCAAGAGAAAAACCAAAGGCAAAGCAAAAGAATTAAACTCCATTGTATGAAATTATGTAAATGTGTGATATTTGTCCAGGATCTACAGAGAGCGCTGGAGAATAACAACTGGCAGACAGACGATGCTCTTCTGGAGCTCAGTAACTTCATGGATAACGGAAAAGAGAGACAAGGTATGTCGCTTTATAGACAACGGCAAAAAGATACAAGGTATGTTCCTAGGTGTGCTGTATGCTACCTCTCCAACCAAAACTGATGTATAGTTTCACAACAAGAGTTGCCAAAATGGTTAATAAATTTAATGAAAATTAAGGAAGTTAAAAAAATGGGTTTTCAGAATCTCTCATTGTAGAAAAATTCAGAATATCTGTTATGTGCAACATTTAATAAGTAAAAAAAAGTGACCTCTCCTTCCAATCTTACACACTTATTTTTTTTCCTGACAGCTGCCTTGGAAGATGAGGAGGAAGATTTTAGGAGTGATGATGAAGAAGCAGACAGCGATGATAGCATTGAGGTGTGTTTAGAAGTGAAGATTTAATGATAGCACTGAAGTATTTTATCTCTGACCCTGAGAAATTTAACCTTTGACCTTAATATGTTTTATCTTCACTCGTTAGATGGACACAGAGACGGCTCGTACAGAGAGAGAGAAGATCTTGGCCTTCTTTGATGAAGCGACAATTGAGGAATTATCTGCGACACCAGGGTGTTCCAAGAAACGAGCAGAGGTCATCATATCACTGAGGCCATTTAAAAACTGGAATAAACTCGTAAGCTTTTATATTGCCCTGTCAGCTGTTTTATGGAAAAATTATGGATTAGGGTTATAATATAGCTGCAGCCTTAAACAATTTTAGGTCTTATTAAAAAGGTTAGATATACATCTTTGATTCCTAGCATTTAATTTCTCTGAAGCAATGCTTTTGATCATCACCCAATGTATACATAGCGTACCTGATCAGTGATTTTTCTACACTCAGTTTAGGTCCAAATATCGGCCCTTTCCCGTCTCAAAAATTACCGATTTTTTCCCAATTTTCAAGTGCTTTTTTCCCAAAATCAAAAACGTATTGTTTTGGTTATATTGAATTTTTTATGTATGACTTATCTAAAATGGAACGCTATTGATTTTGGTCATTCGGACACTAAAAAGAATGGCAAAAACCAGCAGTTTATTTGTGTGTTTGCAAGACTTGGAAAAACACATCGATCTCAAACTTGTGTGTCAATCATCGTAAGAAATTTAATATGCATGTGAATCGGTTAGACATAGGTTTATTTGTAAATTGCAAGTACTAGTAATTCTACAACAAGCTTCCTTGATTTCACGAAAATTAAACTTTCTTCATTCTGCAGATACTAGCGTTGCGGAGAAGCACAGCAATAACATGCTTGTAAATCGTGTCGAGATTATTCCATCTCCAATGCGAGCAATAACCAGAAATTGGGAATGATTTTTTTCTCAGTTATGTCTACCATTATGGCAAAAAATGGAATATAGGACAATCAAAGAACAAAAATGAACGAAAATTAAAAATGTAGAACTGTGTCCATTTTGTTGAAAAATTTTGTAGCAAATAAATTTGATAAATGATATTACATTTACTTATATATTTTATTTTACTAGTCAACATGAAGGTTAATTACAATCTTATTGTTTTTCCCAATTTGACACAAATGTCGACAATTTTTCCCAATTGAAAAGGCCCAGGCCCCTTTTAAAAATTCTAGAAAAATCACTGCTGATGATTTATTTCAGACAACAGAATTCTATAACAACAAAGCCTTGTCCTATGACATTATTAGCGGATGTAAGGACATCCTTCGTGTGCGACAAGTTATCGTCAAACTGATGCAGAAGTGCGAGGGGATCTCAAAAAAGATGGAGGCAGTGGTGTCATGTCTGACCAAGAAAACAGAGTTTGATGAGAGCAGTGATGACGAGTCCATACAAATAACAAAACAGCCCCAGAATCTGTCACACGGGTAACTACAAGGCTACTTAACAGTTCCAGTGCTATCTTTCTTTTTGAAGCTGTAATTTTGATATTAACGCTGTTTTCTATTTGTGTGTAGCTGTCAGCTGAAGCTTTTGTAATTTTGATTTTAACGTTGTTGTGTATTTCTGTGTAGTTGTCAACTGAAACCGTTCCAGATGGTTGGACTGAACTGGCTCCGTATCATGCACTCCCAGCACCTCAACGGAATCCTGGCTGATGAAATGGTAACACGAATGTTTACATGTATTGACAGATGACAAAGTTAATTGTATTTAAATAGTCCATATCCGAAGCCAATAACTTTTCATGCAGGTGTATTGTTTGAACAAAAATAAAGCCAGAAATCTCTTGTTAGGGAATGAATTTATAGAAGTTTGTTGTGAATTGATGTTGACCTATGTAGTGAAGTATACATAACTTTTCTTGCTTTGTTTATCATCAGGGACTTGGTAAAACAATACAGACCATTGCCTTTATCGCTCATCTATTGGAGGAAGGAGAGACAGGGCCACATGTTGTTATTGTTCCCTCCTCAACAATAGGTAACATTCCAAACAGGGGGTAATATCTCAGACAGGTAAAATCTCGCACAGATTTTATATTAGAGAGATATACACTCACAAATCTAAAATCGAATAAAGTTTATATGATTGAACTATACATGTAATACATTTTACTTTACATTGTTTTGTTCAGAGAATTGAATAAAACAAGTACACATGTTATGGTTATATATTTTGTTCTACAGAGAACTGGATGCGGGAGTTTAACACGTGGTGCCCCGAGGTGAACCTCCTCGTATATTACGGTTCTATGGAGGATCGCCGGCAGAGTCGCATGTCACTTCTGTATGACAAACACATCAAGTACAACGTCGTGCTCACAACGTAAGTATACAACAGTCAGAGTCGCATGTCACTTCTGTACGATAAACACACCAAGTACAACGTCGTACTCACAACGTAAGTATACAATAGACAGAGTTGCATGTCACTTCTGTATGATATCAACACCAAGCACAACGTTGTGCTCACAACGTAAGTATACAAAAGACAGAGTCGCATGTCACATCAGTATGACAAACACACCAAGTACAACGTCAAGCTGACAACGTAAGTATACAACAGGCAGAGTCGCATGTCACTTCTGTATGATAAACACACCAAGTACAACATGGTGCTGACAACGTAAGTATACAACAACAACTCGGTACAATGTTATGCTAAAAAATGATTCCAACTATCAGTACAACATCCTTTTTACAATGTAGGTATACAGCCATACTGTCAATCTGAATCCATTGTGATCTTAAAAAACAAGTTCAGAGTAAGCCTTAAGTGTATTGAATAGTCTTGCCAAGGAAATTGATTTTACTTGTTCATTGCATATTGCGATAAATTAATTTGAATTTTAAAAAAGAGAAGTACTTAGAAGAGATGTACATGGGATTAATGTTAACAATGTTACCATTGACTTAATGAGTCTCATTTCAAGAAATGTTTTACTTTTAATTTGTGAAATAAAATCCAGGTGGTATTTTCTGTTCTCCAGATACAACATGGCTACAGGAAGTGTAGAAGACCGGGCGTTGTTTAAGAAAGTGGATTTCCATTACGCCATCTTTGACGAGGGTCACATGTTAAAAAACATGTCTTCTCTACGCTACCAGAACTTAATGAAAATAGCAGTAAGTTTTAAGTACAAGATTTACTTTAAACATATTACATTTGGCTGTGTATTCTTTTAAGTGCTTATGGCGGAAAGACACTTCCACAAATTCAAGTACAACGCTAAATGTTTTGTACTTATATTGGGAAATACATTTGTAAGAGCGATAAGAAGTGAGCTAAATTAAATCTATGCTAACTTGTTCAAAGCTCAGTTTCCGCCAAATATCGTACACGCTAAATATAATACATTTAAAGTATATCACAACACATTAACTGTTTTACTTGAATGATCGAAAATAGCTGAATGCGTAAAAATATTTACAGGCATTAAAATAAGTAATGCTTTAGTAGCCAGCGTCTGTACACAAAGGCAAAATACTGTAAATTCCTAATTAAACGCGAGGAATTAATTTCCGCATAATTTCGTGAGAAGCATCACTCGCGAAAAAATATTGCTCCCTTTTATTTTTATAGTGCTGAAATCTATGTAAAATCTATTGATCAACCATCCATTCATGAATTATAATTCTCGCGATTTGACGTTTAAGAGCCAGTTCGCGATAAAAAGTACTCGCGAAAAATAAGGAATCTACAGTAAGAACCCATATAGTCTTATGTAAACAAATACCTTTTGTTTGAATTTATGTTCCTCGGAATATATACATATAAAAGCTAAAATGCAAAAAATTGCTAAACATGTAATTTAAAATGGTGAGCACTATGAAATTCCTTTCATCACAATGATTTCTTTAATTCCAGGCCGAGCGCCGACTGTTACTGACTGGGACACCGCTACAGAACAACCTGCTGGAGCTAATGTCCCTGTTGTGTTTTGTGATGCCAGAAATCTTCAGTGGAAAAACAGACCAACTCAAACAGATGTTCTCTATGATCAATGTGAGAAACAAGTGCTTTGTATTAACCTTGGGTTGGGGACTAAAAATTGATTCTTTATTTTAAGATGATTCTAAGTATGTTATCATCACTAATATATGTGTGTTGTATTATTACAGAGAGGAGTGGATGATAAAGCCAAGAGTAAATATGAAAGGGAGAGAATCCAGCATGCCAAGAGAATCATGAGACCGTTTGTTTTACGGAGGCTGAAATCCGAGGTTAAACTTTTGTTGTATAGAAATCTCTACAGTAAGGATAGCTAATTGCATGAAAACTTATGACCCACATTTCTGATTTTAACCACCGAAATGGATTGAAATAAATCAGTGTAAAAGTAAATGTATGTGATGCATTTATGTTAGATGACAATTTTTGAATCCATGCTACTTCAAACTTCTTTGCAGCAAAATATGTTTACAGCAAAACATGCATAAAGGAACTGCTTGTTTATAAGGCAGTCATACAGTATTTTGTAACAAAGTTAATGACTTTATGAGTGGGAAAAGGTGAATATAAAATGTAACAAAATTTTTTTGTATATTTGGATACATCTGTGGCAATTCCCTACAGTTATGTCTTTGCTTTACTTCACTAAATGTATGTGTATGTGTAAAATATTTATTGATTGAAAGCAAATCAAAGCAGAAGTAAAATTATTCTTTGTAGAATAAGTTCTCCACTGAAAGTGAGTTTTGACATTTAAACAAAGAAATAACCTGTTTCTGTAGGTCCAGCGGCAGCTGCCAGAGAAGAAGGACCGTGTCCAGTATTGTGACCTAATTCCCCAGCAGAGAGTGCTGTATCAACAGCTAATCACCAAATTCAAACAGGTGATGAAGGATGACCAGGTCAAGGAGTCGCGGGACGGAGCCTCCATGTTGATGCAGCTGAGGAAAGCGTCCAATCACCCGCTGTTGTTACGGAACCATTACACCGAGGACATACTGATGAAGATGGCAAAACAACTTACAAAGGTACGGGATACTACTATTTATTTAGTCTGTAAGATTTCAGGGACCAGCTACCAAGGTAAGTAGCGTATAAAGGTGACTGTTACTATTAATGTAAAATTCGCCAAAATTAAGGTTATTTCTATTTATAGAACAACACACAGAAATGAGAAATTGGTATCCAATATGCGATTTCTTCCTTATTATAAGACAGCTTGCCAGAGGAAAGATCTGTAAAAACTTTAGCAGCCTTTATGTGAAGCACATCTATAAATATATTTATTAGGAAATTTTTTCTTGCATGTACAATAAGAATATAATGTATTTTGATACAGGAGCCTTCCCACAGAGAGAGGGGGGCGCTGGCTGAGCTGATCCACGAAGACATGATGGTGTTGAACGATTACGACATCATGAAGCTGTGTGACCAGTACAAGGTAGGGAGGGAGGGGAACTAGGAAAAGATAGACAAAGGAGGGAACCAGCCAATGTTAGACAAGGGAGGGATTTAGCAATAGTTTAACAAGGGCAGGGAACCAACAAATGTATGAATCAATAGAAAAAAGGGAGTAAAAGAAAGGGGGAAAATACATAATTATGGAGAATTAATGTGTTTAATAATGGCGAGTTTTGTAGCATTGTATTTAAGATTGCATTTAACGATTCAGTGAATGAATTTCATAATTTTTCTGAACTTTCAGAAATATATAGGAAGTTACAAACTAGATTCTCAAGTCATCATGGAGTCGGGGAAATTCAAGGAACTGGAGAAACTTCTGGAAACTTATGAATCTCAGGTAATAGACAGGTGTTTTGAGGTAACGAAGGTATTCTAAAGAAACATACAGGTGTTCTTTGATAATGTATAGGCATTCTTTGATAACATATAGGTGTTCTTAGGTGCCATGCAGGTGTTCTCAGGTAAAATACAAACTTAGGTAACATACTAAAATACATGTACATGTATAGCTGTTCTCAGGTCATAGTAGATCAATGTATCAATGGTGGAAACATATTGATGTTTATTATTAGATCTCGTGTTGGAAGTAAATAATTTTATTAATGACAAACTCTGCACAGAATTTCATAGTACTTCAGAATATGCACCTGCAAGTAATTGTATTAAGTATTGATTTTGACATGACACACAATCTTACCTGAGTACATAGGGTTCAAAGTATTATAGATTGTATGTTGAAAATTCACTTTGAAATAAACATGAAGATTGATTTTGTTGTAGGGAGACCGGGTTTTACTCTTCAGTCAGTTTACAATGATGATGGATATTATGGAGGATTTTTTGAAGGCCAAGAATTACTCGTACCTACGTCTAGACGGCTCTACACCCGTACCAGAAAGGTCAGTGTTATAAATCAGGACAAGTGATGGTAGATCTGTCTGTTCTCTGTTTTATAATTATAGCCGTCACCTGACTCATCAGTGACTTTTAAAGTGATATTTTGCTATCATCATCATGTAATATCCAGTCTCTTTACTTTCAGACAAGAGTTGATAGACAAGTTTACCAAGGATGAGAGCATATTTATCTTCATGTTGTCTACAAGAGCTGGAGGTCTTGGGATCAATCTAACAGCAGCTAACGTAGTCATCATCCACGACATCGACTTCAACCCGTACAATGATAAACAGGCAGAGGACAGGTGTCACAGAGTGGGACAGACCAGGTCAGTAAATCGTCTGATCATTTAATTGTATTTTATTTATGGTAACAGGGAGGTGTCAATAAATCGTCTGATCAGTAAATTGTATTTTATTTATGGTAACATTGAGGTCATCTCAGTAAAATTCTGTTTTATTAATAATTACAGGGAGGTGTCAATAATTTGTCTGATCAGTAAATTCTATTTGTTACAGGGAGGTGTCAGTAATTTTTCTGATCAGTAAAATCTATTTTATTTATGATTACAGGGAGGTGTCAATAATTTGTCTGATCAGTAAATTCTATTTTATTTATGATTACAGGGAGGTGTCAATAATTCGTCTGATCAGTAAATTCTGTTTTATTAATAATTACAGGGAGGTGTCAATAATTCATCTGATCAGTAAATTCTATTTTATTTCTGATTACAGGGAGGTTTCAATAATTTGTCTGATCAGTAAATTCTATTTATTTATGAATATAGGGAGGTGTCAATAATTCGTCTGATCAGTAAAGACACGGTAGAGGAGGGTATGTTGAGATGTGCTCGAGACAAACTCAAACTGGAGAAAGATATAACTACGGATGAAAGTAAGAAACAAAATAATCAGAACATATTCCTCTATTTACTTCTACTGTTATGCTCAGGGTAAATGTAAAGATGATTATGCTTTTTGTAATAAATACATAAACGATACTGTAACCTTGTGGTAAGCTTAGAGTTTTTGTAATAATTGTAAAATGAAAAGTAAAATCGTGAAATACACTGCATTGAGAACAGTTTATGAGATAAGGTTTCTCTTACAGGCACAGATAAAGAAAATCCTTCTGATGTGGCATCCCTCCTCAAGGGGGCGCTGGCAGGCAGTTCTTGACCCCAGCTGAACTCTAGTCCACCAATCACAACTCAGATTATAAAGTTCATGACCTCAGAACAAATTCTCATACAAAAAAATCAAAGTCAAAAAAACATTTTACATATCTTTGAGCCATAAAATGTGAAGGTTGGATGAGGAGCATTAGATTTGTGTATGGTAGTGCTATTGGATGTTGATTCAAAGTTTGATTCCTTGAAATGAAAGCAGTGCTAACCTGTATATTGTAATTATTCTTGAATTAGTAGACATGTGAACAAAACAAGGAATTTTGAGAATATAATCTTACACAGGAATGGCATCCTATTTCTCTTAGAAGATTGTGATGACCCCATTTTGTGTTTAAGTCCCGGGAGAAAAAAGGAAGAGTGCAGGGAACCCTGGGATAATTTTTGAGACAGCAAGGAATGCTGGGAAGACTGTTCTTTGTCTCGTTTGATTAACTGTTTGGTCATATGATGGTGCATGTACAGTGTTGTGTATGTAAACTTGTAACTGTAAAAAGTGAATCAAGGTGTTGTCACATTGAACTTGTATGAATCTGAAAGTGTGTAGATAATTTTAGATCTTTCAGAAGAAAACAAGACTTATGCAGCCACATCTAATAAATGAATCTAGGATCAGATGATGCCAAATGTTCAGTAGAGGTTGCAAAGCCCTCATTAGAAAACTGTTTTAGTTGAGGTACAGTAAAAAAGAGTGCTTGTTGATATATATAATTTACACAATATGCAGCATAAATGATTTCTTATAAATATATAAACACAAACTTTTTGTTGTCTGAAACCCCCAAGTCCATGTAATTGATTAATTATGTTAAGACCAGATGTGATCAAATCTTTGAATGAAACTCTGTGATATGTGTTTTATCAGTTGGTAAGATTGGTTTGATACTTGTCAGAGAAAAAAACTTGAAATGATCTTATCTAAGTTACTGTTAACATTCCTAAAATTCTTATTTCTATTTACCGTATAAGTAGAATTTTTAGCGAGGATTTAATTTTGGCATTATTAGCGAGGGTGCCGAGATCGCTAAAATTGAATATCGCTAAAAATTAATTGCGTTTTATTTGTAATAGCTTCTTAAATATGCATTTTAAAATCGCTAGAATAACATCTCGCTCGCTAAAAATAAATTACCAGTTTTTAGGACGAATCGCTAAATGCGTCTCGCTAAAATATACTTATACGGTATTTTAACAATTTATGATACTTTTGCCAATATATAGGTTCTTCTTTTGTGTTAACTTTTGTGATATTAAGGATAAACAAACAAACCTTTTTTAAGAAATCAGCAATATTTTTCATATATTTCAATCGGTATCCTTAATAATGTTTACCAGTTATAGTGGGGAAATTCATAAGATTTTGTTAAAAGGTTAGAAAAGTTGTGCAAAATTTTGTATAAAATTATCTAGAAACTAGTGCAACAAAGTCTTGTATCTAAGCACCGAAGGACACTGGAGTCTAGACTTCAATTTATGTTCTAGGGATATATTATTTTCAGTCCAAAATACCATGGTTTATATGAATCCATGCATTAAATTTTTGTTTGTGTTAAATAATCTTGAAAAAAAAACGGTGAACCATCCAGTAAATTGGCTGTTAATCCGGATTTATCATGTTTTCAATCCATCCCAGACCCTAAATAGTTGTGTAAGTAAAGAAAAGTGTGAGTTTTTCTTTTGCTCACAACATTTTTATCATTATATGTATTGTAAACCAGTGACATTTTGCCAACATTAGAATGGACAATAAATTTTCAAGAAGTGTTAAAAGTGTAGATTGATTTATGTTCATTGTGTGAGGGTACGCGTTGGCAAGATAAAGAACCCCCAGTGCTCAATGCATCTGCGTGGCGAGTAACGCGCCAGTATATGGTGATAAGGAAGCCGCCCAAGTGAAAAAAATCCTCAAACAAATCACTCTAAGAAATCACTTATGAATCAGTGATTTGAAGATGATTTGTAAGTGATGCAAATTCCCATGCAAATGAGCTAACAAATCACTCCTAACAAATTGTAAGCAAATCACCCTGAAATCACAATGAAATCACTTTGAATAAATCGTGTAGAAATCACTTCTGTTGAACAAATCGCAACCAAATCACTCCAAATAAATTGCAAACAAATCATTTCAAATAAATTGCAAACAAGTCACTTCAGTTTAACAAATCACTCTCAAATCACTCCAGGTGGTTACACACTTGCGTGTAGGATGCTCATGTAACCATCCCTCAAATATTTGAAACACACACGAATGCATACCGGTATTTGTTGTATATGAACAAAAAACTTTTGGCAAGTGTATTTTAAAATATAAACTTTTACTAGGATGTGTCCTCATTAAGATGGCATCATGTATTTTAGATATATACACATGTCCTTGGCTCCAAATTCAGAATATGATATAGGCATTAATTGTTGACTTTTAGAAGTTGGTAAATATTTTCTTATCTGAAATAAATATTTGTCTAGACACTTTGAAAAAGCCAGTACTTTGCTGAAGCTTATAGCTTTACATAGCTTTTGTTTTAAAACATTAATTGCCATCGACTTTGTTGTTGGTAGAAGAACAATAAATTGCATGTGAACATAGGGAATATTAACTGAATCTCAAGAGAAAAAGATAGAGCATAATACAGTTATACATACCTTAAAACTATATTCTGCATGATTATTGAAAAAACATCAGTTTCAACAAAAGAAGAGAGGTATGAATCTAGAAGAGCACAATGTAGCTCCTTTCATTTCAATTCAAATCTGATTAATGAAAATTGGCGGTAGAGTTTCTAATACTGACCAATCAGCAAGCCAGGCGGAAGTTATGAAGTAAATCATTCTCAAATCACTCTGAAGAAGGGCCATGAGATCAACAAATCATTTACAAATCACTTTGAAGAAAGACTAAGTTAACAAATCATCTTCAAATCACTTTGAAGAAAGACTAAGTTCCAGAAATCATGTTCAAATCACCTTGAAGAATGGCTAAGTTCAACAAATCATGAAGAAATCACTGTAACAATTTCCTAAGTTTAACAAATCACTCAGAAATTGTCTGAAATGGGAAAGAAATCACAAGCAAATCACCCTTTTATAACAAATTGTAAACAAATCATGGTCATCATTTTAGTAGAAAGTGATTTAAGCATGATTTGTTAGATGAATTGCTTACAAATCACTGAAACAAATCACTTTAAACTGATTTTAAAGCAATTTGTAGGCAATTTGTGAGTGATTTGTTTGAAAAAATTTTCACTTGGGCGCGGCCGGTTGATGCCAAATATGGCGACCGCCTTATTAGCTCACCTGAGCCGAAGGCTCAAGTGAGCTTTTCTGATCAAAATTTGTCCGTTGTCTGTCGTTGTCGTTGTCATCGTTGTCGTCGTCGTAAACTTTTCACATTTTCATCTTCTTCTCAAGAACCACTGGGCCAATTTCAACCAAACTTGGCACAAAGCATCTTTGGGTGAAGGGGATTCAAGTTTGTTCAAATGAAGGGCCACGCCCTTTTCCAAGGGGAGATAATCATGATTTTGTTAAAAATTAATGGCATTTTTAAAAAATCTTCTTCTCCAGAACCGCTGGGCCAGGAAAAATGAAACTCATGTGAAAGCATCCTCAGGTAGTGTAGATTCAAGTTTGTTCAAATCATGACCCCCGGGGCAAGGGTGGGGCCAAAATGGCCGACCCAAGTTTTACATAGGAATATATAGGAAAAATCTTTAAAAATCTTCTTCTCCATAACCACTGGGCCAGGAAAGATGAAACTCATGTGGAATCATCCTCAGGTAGTGTAGATTCAAGTTTGTTCAAATCATGACCCCCGGGGCAAGGGTGGGGCCAAAATGGCCGACCCAAGTTTTACATAGGAATATATAGGAAAAATCTTTAAAAATCTTCTTCTCCAGAACCACTGGGCCAGGAAAGATGAAACTCATGTGGAATCATCCTCAGGTAGTGAAGATTCAAGTTTGTTCAAATCATGACCCCCGGTGCAAGGGTGGGGCCTAAATGGCCGACGCTAGTGTTACATAGGAATTTATTAGAAAAATCTTTAAAAATCTTCTTCTCCAGAACCACTGGGCCAGGAAAGATGAAACTCATGTGGAATCATCCTCAGGTAGTGTAGATTCAAGTTTGTTCAAATAATGACCCCCGGGGCAAGGGTGGGGCCAAAATGGCCTACCCAAGTTTTACATAGAATACTAGTATATAGGAAAAATCTTTAAAAATCATCTACAGAACCACTGGACCAGGAAAGATGAAACTCATGTGGAATCATCCTCAGGTAGTGTAGATTCAAGTTTGTTCAAATCATGACCCCCTGGGCTAGGGTGGGGCCAAAATGGCCGACCCAAGTTTTACATAGGGATATATAGGGAAACCTTTTAAAATCTTCTTTTCAAGTACTTCAAAGCTATGATTAGTGATATTTATATGGAATCATCCTCAGGTAGTGTAGATTCTAGTTTGTTCAAATGATGAACGCCTGGAGGGGGGGGGGGGAGTAAATTCAAGCCTGATGTGCTCAGGTGAGCGCTGTGGCCCCTGGGCCTCTTGTCTTTTTATCTAGCGGCCGCCCGAAAATTATTTTGCGACCGGCAGTTAATTATAAAGCGGCCACCACACCCCTACTAATGTGTTCGGAACCTTTTATTTTTCGGTGTTCTGCAAATTATAAGACCCGATGAGTTCAGAGTAGCTCTGGCAGTGACCCTGGCGAGAGTTAGCGAGACTTCAGCGAGATAGGGTAAATTATTCACGGAAATGGCTAGGAAGTGACTAGCACGTGGAGACATGGTAAACAGAAAAGTTATGTTGCGTTTCAGTTTTTACCACCCTAGAATCAGCTGATAATGTCTGTAGAAATGTACTTCAATCAATCGATCTCTCTTACATTCATTCAAACTTAAATAAGTATTCTCTATAATACAATTTTCTGCAGTCATGAATTAAAATTTCTTTTTGGAACAATATTTTTGCATGGGAACCGGGACTATATTTTTTGGCGTCAGTTAGCAAATGAGGCACCAGCATGATTTTAACTGACCAATCAATGAATGAGTATTGCATTATGAGTTACTACGAATACTACAGGAATTTTACGCTTGAAAAAAAAGGAAAATCTTATCTTATTGTAAAGAAAAAGCATTTTTAAAAATATTATTTTCATGCTCATAATGACAAACAATTCATTTGTTCAATAAACGGTGGAAGTCTAGGTTTCTGAAAGTCATACTGCAAAAGCGATTTGCGTCTGTAATAATTCCTTTGTTGTACTATCGGTGAATACAATTGCCAGGTGGATTCCCTGGCCAAACACGTGATCACGAACGTAAACAAAGTTTTGTCCATTTAAATGCATAAGAGATGCTGCTCGTTTTCCTTACCTTTGAAGCGCTGGTGTTCTGAACAAGACACAAACTACATTTTATTAAACATTTTTTCCAGTAAACAATGAATTAAAAACGCCCGTAACATCTTTAATAGTTTCTTATCTTTGTATTTTGTTCTTAAGAACATTTTTTTATTATTATTTTGTATTCCATTGACATGTTCATAGATTGAGGTGAACCACGTGTTCGAAGTAAAATGTAAACATGTATTTGGCGTAAACGTTGCTATTCATTCCAACGATTGGTCACTTGCTCGTGGTAAGATCCTCTGTGCGCATTTATAACAATAGCCATATAAGGCAAACAAAGATTTGTCAGTGTAGAAGATAAAACACGTTTTTACCAGCGAATCGGTCACTAGTGAGCTCTTATTTTCGCCGAAAAGTATAAGATATATTGTTATTTTAACACCCCCTCCTTTAGCCACCCCCTTTCTGTTGAAAATCATGAGAGTCTTTCAGAAAGGTCTGAAAACATTTATTACAGGACATGTTTTCAAAAGAAACAGGCTATAGCAATGTCCTGTTTACTGCCAATTTTATTTATAAAACCGGTTCTTCCCTATAACCTTTGAATAGATCAACCTAAACCACGTGTCTTGAATTTAAATCACAATAACATTAGTAGGGGTGACCAGATAACATTATTTTCTACCAGCTTCTGTATGGTGACGTCTATGGGGCGCCGTTTTGGTATTTAGTGGCAAAAAGTGATATCACCTATTCGAACAGGTGATATCACTAATTGAATAGGTGATATCACCTATTCGAATAGGTGATATCACTTTTTGCCAGTAAATACCAAAACGGCGCCCCATAGACGTCTCTGTATGAATGAAAAATATATGATACAATCAATCAATTAACCAATCAAAAGTGTAGAATCTTTTAATTACACAGAGATTAGATGCAGAATGTAGAAAATGTTAAGTAAACAGTAAGTCAAGTGATTAGAATCGGCTCAGTACACTGGAGTGGGGAAGAAGAATCTACCAAAGAGACAATAACTTCTGCATATGGTGTTTTTATCTTCCATCTTTTTTTGTACTCAAGACCCTGCTCCGTGTATGAACAATTTATTAGCGGACGTAGGCTACTGACTATTAAGTTAATGTTACAGGGGTTTCAGCAACCTCCTGTAAAGCCAGCATTTCGTTAATTCTATGGTTGTTAAAATGACCTTGTTAGAAAATTTTACATTATATAGGGTCGTATTTTGGTTTACTTTTTTCGTGCCAAACATCAGCATGATCAGGGCTATAAATGTTTTTGTACTGAATTTGACAACGGAATGTTCCGTTCATCTGTTCAGTACACAGGACTCAAGCTTACAGCGGGTGTGAAAGGTAAATAGGGGCTGCTTCCACTCCTAAACTCCTGATCCACCCTTGAGCATGTCCAGGGGTCAATGTTTTATGCCCTTTCCCGATTTTCATTGCTTTATTGTTTTTGTTTGTTTGTTTTTTGTTTTTGTTTTTCGGTTAATTTTTCATAAAAATGTCCATTATTGGATTCTTTTGTCTAAGGACCTTCATACTTAAGACCTTGAAATTACATGTAAAATATGTTGATATTTCTGAAGATCCATAATAACAATTTTACACTCATGCCTTCTTCACGATCCCTTACATAAATATAGGTTATCAGTAACGTCTATAACCTTGTTTTCTTCCCTGTACAGTTCTATAGTGGTATATAAACTTCAGTCTTCGTTCGACTTTCAATAAGTTATCATATGTCGACAATGCTCCGTGTGGCCTTGGTTTGTCTTTTAGGTGAGTTGTAAACAGTGTTCTTGATTTATCGGGAATATTATACACATGATTCAAGACATTATGTTGCGTATGGTACACAGAGAGCAACTAGACCTTCTGATCTTGCATGGGATTTATGCAACAACTTTTTTTGTTTAAAAAGAAATCGAATTGAATACAGGGCGAGAACAAGAGAGAACCGATGTGTTGTAATCCTTGCTTTCACACCCAAACTTGCATTTTCGCCCTCGCTTGTTCGTCGCCTGCACTTTTCCACTGCCTCACGCTTGTCTCATTCTATACTGACCGTTAAACCAAGTAAACCTATATAGTTATTGTCGTGTGTGTTTTTGCTTTAATTTGATCGTTTTATTTTTTAAATTAAAGAATTTCAATATTAAATAAATAATTCGTTACGTTGACATGATTTGATTCGAGGTAATTTTCCCCGTGTTTTAAATGACTCAATTTTGCAGGTGTTCGAATGCTTCTTAATAAACAATTAAGCCTTCGACTATTGGGTTGATATTCCCTGCTGTTGTTTTCGCAGACCTCTTGATAGCGACGTGCATATTACATGTATTACTTGTGTATGTAGATTATTTTTATTTTCTGAACAGCGTCAGCAGTGTACGGCGCCTGCCCTGCAGACTGGACCAGCATAGACAGCCATTGTTATATGATCAGCCACGCCAAACTCTCCTGGCCGGAAGCAGCAGTAGGTCCTTAATATCATCATCATACAATATGACTAACTCTAAAGTATGTTGGTATGTTTCTGTCTAAAGCAGACAAATGCAATTTATGCTGCTATGATTTTGACCGTTATGCAAATTGATAATCACTAGTTTCCAACTCCCATTGAAGCCCGGGAAAACACAATAAACTAAAAATACATGTATATACATAAGTTGATGTTTTAGCGTTGCTGTATTTAGAACCAATTTTTAACTCATAAAATATATAATTCATACATGACATTTCCCCTATCAAGAATTTAGAATTTTGAAAAACATGGGAATACGCTTGTATTGTTGAGGCACCCCGATTTATACTTTCCTTCTCTTAGCGCTCATATCCCCCAATAGATTTAAATAAATGTTCATAACCGAAAGGCCACATACTTTATTCCTGACATAAAAGCTATTTACGTTTGATAACCTATAAAGTATCGACTCTTCCTTTTGTAGGAAATGTGTGAGGCACTGAAAGGAACTCTGGCGACGTTCGAAAACAGAGCAGATATCAGTTCCATTGCTTTCCAACTTCATGGAGGTAAATCAAAGTACTGAATGTACTCAACCATAAAGAGTTCTAGTGTATGGAGTACTTATGTACTCTTATATCTTTTAACCTCTGTGAATGAAATAATTTTGTTAATCTTATGTCTCTATCCTAGATTTCTTGTACGGATGCAGAACTTAATACGTAGCAAGGAATTGAATACAAATCGTTTCCTTTTTAATCTGGCCATACATTTTGTTATCCATCAGCACTCAAAATGAAGACAATGTTCTTCCAATAACTTGCACATATATTATTACTTTTTGATAATTTGTAATTTAGTTTTACGAAACCTCATTCTTATATCCGTAAAAACATAAATCATTTTTTTCACTGTGACACAGACATACGTGATGAGAAGATCTGGGTCGACGGAACTGACGCAGCGCGCGAAGGACACTGGATCTGGGCCTCCAACGGACATGACGTCATTTCCTCCTTCTCCGGCCGCGTCTCCAATAACGATAAAGATAAGAACTGCCTCAGCATGGATTCTGACCACCACTTCCAGTGGTACGCAGAAAGCTGCCATTCCGAGAATTATTACATCTGCGAGATGCTAAATGTTGTAACCAGGTAAAAATAGCTACTGCATTTCTTTTTTCCCCTTCTTCAAAAATCTGTTCTGAGATTTAATTGTTTGTCCGGGGGCCAAAACTGAGATAAATCATGTTATAATCGAGAGATTAAGTTTAATGGAAATATTTTTGTTTCAGTGGTTCCCCCAGCATTGTAGGATAGCCATAATGCACCCAATAGCCATTGTCAGAGAGGTGTATAAATAAGAATGTATAATAATGGATGTATAATATATCAGCAATAAAAATATGTATATGGAAATTTCAGTTGTATTCATCATAAGAACAGACATGTGATTACATACATGTATTTATTTCTTTGTTCGTTTATTGATTACCTTATGGTGAGCTCCATTCAAAATATATAAATTTTGGATTATACCAACTTTAACTATAATATTTGTTAGAGAACAGCTTTTTAATCGTCAAATTCTTATTGTCATGGAGTTATATTTCAATACTTCTAACATTTTGTGTTTAAGTCACCCAACTGATTCGGTGCACAACTTGAGAACATGTTTTGAGTATCAGTTTTAAACCCAAGGCAGCCTACTAATAAATAAGTTGATGTAAAAAAAAGTTTTCAAAATCTCGTTTTCTTTATTGATGAATCATACACTGTGACTGTTGTCAGAGAGGAACCATTGGCAAGGTCATTGTTTTTACATTTTATATTTTTTGACTACGGATTACCCCTTATATCTGATCATACATGTATTTAGGGCTTCATTATGGCATGCAGATGTGACCTGTCGACTGGGACGCTTACTTCTTGAAGCCTCCTGATCCTACCTCTGAACTTTCCAGAGGTCCGTGCTTTTCGCCCCATGAACGATTTGAATTCTTACTGGATATATGGGATGGGTTGTTGTTCATAAGTCTTACAAATCTGCTGAAAGATTATTTTTTGTCAAAAGAGGTGGGAAAGATTTCATCATTTATCTTTTCATATGATCTCATTATAAGCTCATAAGAATACCTTACAAATTGTGCCAATGTACGTTAAACACTTCTTGGAATTTCTACGTTCTGTTTATGGTAATATTTTTTGTTTCAGTGGTTCCTCCGTCGTCGTAGGATAGTGTGAACAATTTAATACAATCACTGAGGTGGTGTACAAAGTAATGGTATACTGTGTATATAAATCAATAAATATGCGTTTGTTACGTCACGTGTCATTGTCTTCTGCTTCATTTCAAAGCCTTGTGATGACCCTTATTAGATATACATGTACCTAGTGGGCTACGTATCTTCCTATATACGGTATTAAGTCTTATCTATGCCGAGCTCCGTTCAAGTTTTCACTTTGAATACTCTTATACAATTAAGGACACATCCAGGAAAAGAATGACTGCACTCTCTGGATCCCGATGTTTTGCGCAAAATAAAATTCCAAAATTCATTAAATTTATGTTTTATAGGTATTAAACAATGTCCAGGGGTGTTTTGAAAGAATTCTGGTATTGACAATGTAATTAGTAAGTACATGTATAGGCTTATGTCGCCTCTGTATTATGGTCTGCAAGGCGAGACAGCTACCCCATCCCTAAACATTAGAATCATTTAATAATTGTGCACCACAAAATCATCATGATCCCTCTCTCTTCTCCATTTAAATTCGTCGTGCGAAACAAGAGGCCCATGGGCCTTAGTCACCTGAACAACATTCCAATTGAATTTGATTAATACTTTGGCATTCACAATTTTGAAGGTGGTGTACAAAATAACTTAGCAGTTGTACACATAGGCAGGGTGCAAAAAATACATTTCAATAATCAATAATATTCAGCTATAATCAGTTTGTTAACGTTAGGCACCACACATTGCACAATTTTTGAAAATGCATCCTTGCTTTTCAAAAATATTTGATTAAAGAGGCTGGGGGTGGCAGCCATTTTCAGAATTTCCGTGATATACAAAAATGATGAAATTTTAAAACTAAAATGTATGAATTTTTTCTTTGCCAAAGGATATACAGATTAAGATACTACTAAAAAATAAATTAAATCTGGTGGTTATCTTTAATACCAAGGAGCTGATTTCAAACCATTCTTTTTTATGTCCCCTTTGAAATTCACTTTGGCTCTTGCTCATCATAACTATATAGGTAGTTCATTTGCTTAATACCCAGGAGCAGAGAAGAAAATTTTCAAAGATTTAATGTATTTTCACTATATAATCAATAGAGCCCCGCCCTAACACCAGAACCCCTGACCCTGGGGCCAAAAAATTCACAATTTTGGTAAAGACACTCTTGCTCATCATAACTTTGCACTTAGTTGGTTTATTTAATACCTAGGAGCAGAGAATTTTTAAAGAATTCATGTATTTTCACTATATAATCATCTTTAAAATTTTTTGGTAAAGGCACTCTTGCTCATCATAACTATGCACTTAGTTAGTTTATTTAACACCTAGGAGCAGAGAAGAAGATTTTCAAAGAATTCATGTATTTTCACTACATAATCAATAGAGCCCCACCCTAACACCAGAACCCCTGACCCTGGGGCCATAAATTCACAATTTTGGTAAAGGCACTCTTGTTCATCATAACTTTGCACTTAGTTAGTTTATTTAATACCTAGGAGCAGAGAAGAAGATTTTCAGAGAATTCATGTATTTTCTCTACATAATCAATAGAGCCCCACCCTAACACCAGATCCCCTGACCCTGGGGCCATAAAATTCACAATTTTGGTAAAGGCACTCTTGCTTATCATAACTATGCACTTAGTTGGTTTATTTAATACCTAGGAGCAGAGAAGAAGATTTTCAACATGTATTTTCACTATATAATCATAACTCCAGAACTCCTGACCCTGGGGCCATAAAATTCATAATTTTGGTAAAGGCACTCTTGCTCATCATAACTTTGCACTAAGTTAGTTATTTAATGCCCAGGAGCAAAGAAGAAGATTTTCAAAGAAATAATGCTTTTTCAATATATACTTTTTAGCCCCGCCCTAGCACTAGAACCCCTGACCCCAAGGCCATGAATTTCACAATTTTGGTAGAGGACTCAATGCTGATTACAATCATGCAAACAGTTTGACTGCTTGATGTCCAGGAGTAAAGAAGAAGATTTTTAAAGATTGCATTGATTTGAGTGGTTTTGGCCCCACCCCTAAAGCCCCAGGGGGGCGGGGACCATAAAATTCATAATTTTTGTTCCCCTTCACCCATAGATGCTGTATACCAAATTTGGTTGAAATTGGTTCAGTGGTTTCAGAGAAGAAGCTGAAAATGTTCAAATGTTAACACACGACGGACGACTCACGACGACGGACGAAAACAGATAGCAATAGGTCACCTGAGTTTACTCAGGTGATTTTGTGCTAATGTTTACATTCCACAACCATGCGGTCTAAATGTCTCCGCCTATTTGTGGATACCTTAGATTCGAAAGTGGTCCCGTTCAAATTTCCGGAATTTAAAGCTTTTATTACATGTTCTTTTCAGTGACATTTTCTGTAATTATAGAAATATGTATGATAAATATTCTAGAAATAAATATCAAAAGCAGATGCTTCCACATTAATCATAGATTAATTTAGCAATATATTGTAATGTTAAGCAACCATTTAACTATCAAATGACCAGTCTTTTTTGTTTTCTTCATCATTCACAGCTATATATTTACATCCACTGAATATTTTCTTCTATATTTCTTAAGAAAACCCATTGCATTCATCCCTGCATAAACTACATTAGGCATATCACCTGTACAGATTTCTTGATCAGTGGCCGTTCCATCAATGAAACGTACAAAGACGTTCGCATCGTTAACACAATAATTAATATTTTTAATCCTATTTAAAATGATAATTTAAAGATATAAATAAAAACAATAAAATGTCTTTCTTTGTTTGTTGTTAAAGGGATTTACATAACCCGCGTAAGCGGGTTATATTTTCATTCCAGTAACAACAAACAAAGAAAGCATTTTATTGTTTAAGAAAATTGAAAAAGAAAGATGAAAGGGGGAAGTCCGGACCCCTCCGTCACCCTCTGGATCCGCCCATGTTATATATTTTGAATTGAGTAGCTGACTTTTCTGTACGATATCGATTAATTGAAACTTCCAAGCATTTGGGGAAAAGAGAATTTGACCTCTTCATGGTAATTGTCATTTTTTCTATTTAACTCATACACCAACTCTTTGTATTTAATAGAAGAAATAGCACTGGCATTCTAAAAATACCTCTTGTACTCAACGTAAAATTAAAAGCTGGAGCTCCTTTATGAAGGTATTCATGCTGTATTTAGAAACGTGTTCCAACAAACCAAATTTTCCTCTTCTTAATTTCTATGAGGCAAAAGTTATTCAAACAATACTAAATGAGAAGAAAAAAGTTTGCTGTGGCCTTCAATTCGACATTCAGTCACAGTATTTTAACGCAATTTTATCAAATAAGTAATTTCCATTCATATATGACTTAATATATCCCTAGTGAACTTCAGATTTTCCATCACCATCTTTTCTTTTTTAGTAACATTCTACATGTTCCATTATCACCTCCATATAATTATATCATTAATGTCTTTAGCTTATGCAACGCTCAGGAGAATGCTGTGAGAGCAAGATCAATTATTAAAGAGAGGTAAGCTATTGACAGATAAGTTGAGGTTAAAGGGATTTCCAAGGGATATTTTCAAAAGGATTTTAAAGGGATATTCTTACTATCTGATCATTAAATAAGACTTGAATCTGATACTAGTATGACCAGTCAACAGGGGATTCACCTCCTTCTAGATTATTCCAGAACTCACAGGACTCTGTGATTTATGTTCTCTTTATAGTTTAGTATTTTAATTTTCGAGATCAATCACTACTGTTATATTTTTCCTTATCATTATAAGTAATCATCCAATATATGGAACATATAAGTAAATTTTATACCAGATTTACACATTCTTTTTCAGCATCTTTCCCCTTGTTAAAAAAAAGTTTGAAATCCATTACCAAAACCTCCCAGACATCACAAGGTTCAGCCTTACAATCTTGTATAATAATATACCATATTTTACACAGCTTTACCTAGATTTGGGGGGTGGAGCTTAAGAAAAATTGAGGTTTGACACACAGAAAAAAAACTTTTATACAAATCTAAGCATCATTCCTTTCATACTACATGAAGTTTGTGTCAAAGACAACAACAAAGAATAATCATTATTTAACTGTTTATTGGCATATCATAATGTACACAGCCAAATCACAACACTAACACAAGATCATGTGACAGTCATATGACTGATGTTTTGGTCACATGACAGACAATGAGTACAATTTTCTTGCAGTGAAACTGAAAAAAATTATCTTGTAACTATGTTTAATAGAATTAATACTTACATTTTTTTCTATGAATTGGTAACAAACTGATTCGATTTTTTTTTGTCTTCTATCCATGAATTAATATTTTTAGTTTTAAATTGTCTCTATGAGATGCTAAATTTTGACAGTTTTTCTAATACTGATTTTTTACCATGTTCTGACTAGGAGAACAGAGTCCAATATATCCAATGATATTGTTTTCTCTGACTCAAAGTGAATGATTTTGGTAACTTTATGGCCACACTAGTCAAATGAGATCCTATATTTTTTTTTCTAAGCCAGCACGTAAATGTCATGGGGTGGCTAACTAACCCTAATGAATATTCTTTGGCAATCTAATTTGGTTTTTAAAATGTGAGCAATATAAGTAGAACAAGTTACCTCTTTAAATAATATCTTAACAAGGCATGTTAAAATCTTCTGATATGTATAACATCCTTCGTAATTTGAAAACACCATAAAAACAAAAAAAACAGACATTATAAAAATTAAACCCACAATGAACAAATTTTGAGCAATAAAAATAAATCAATATTCACCGTGTTTCAAACAAAAAAATGTATATCTTAATACCATATTATTTTAGATGTATATCTTAATACAACATTCTTTAATGTCCTTGGGTGATTTTTGATGAATAATATCTTAAAATGTTTTCTTTACTCTCTGTGATTTTTTTTTTGATTTTCAGTTTTGTTATTTAGTGAAAGTTTAATATCTTTGACTAGTTTAATGTGAACAGTATACAAAGGAGTTGTAACACTTAACATGAATTCCTGAGTTTTAGCGAGGCTTAGCAGCCATCAGGAGAGGTCATACAGAGAACACACAGCAGTGACCCCTGACCTCCAGTCCTTGACCCTGCTCCAGGGTCGTCATGCATAACATATTCTGACTGGTTCCCAGGTAAACTGGTTTCCTGATGGCTTTATTTACCTCGTTGAAATGATAAAAGATGATTTCCATATTACCATGGTTACATCTAGAGTGTATTTCTTTAACAAGATAAACCAAAAATATATAACTCTATATATATACTTTACACCTTAGACATATCTGTTCCACATTTGCAGTAAGGCACATACTAAACATGAATTATTGCTGAGTACTGACAGCATACAGTAAGCAACGGACTCTAAATACGCGACTTTGTTTATGTCTTTTTTGTAAGAAAATAAAAATAAATCTAGACATGAATTTTGTTTGTAACAGCACTGCCTGTAAGTTAGGTTAACATCAAACAAAGAATTTCACTCAGTTAAAGTGTGAGTTCTGAGTATAGACAACGAAACAATACAACCCAAACAAAACTTAGGGGGACCAACCAGTGCCCCCTTATGTTGCTAGGGGGACCAACAGGTGCCCCCAATGCTGCTAGTGCTCAATACAGTAAAAACATCTCACTGTGAACCATTAAAAACAAACAAGATAATATATAGTAAAAATAACAAGATCCTAAACACATCTTTTGATTTTTGAAACCTTCACAAACAAAACCATAACAATAACATTGTTTGAAAACAAAACTGAAAACACTGCAAAACACTGACCACAAAAGAAAAAAAAATATATAGCTGTCTTTCTGTATTAAAAAAAACCTCACCATAAAAATCTGTTTCTTGTACACGTAATATAAGCTACATATAAAATACCCAACCACAGGGACTCTAGTCTAACTGTACAACTGACTAAGCCCTGAGAGAGGGGGTCTTTAAACGCTCCTTAAGGAGCTAATACCCTAGTGCAAATAGGTCACAAGACCAGAGAAATACAGGGTTACTAACCTTAGTACACAAAGGTTATGTAATCCTAGCTCATATAGGTCACTCCCAGAAAAATACCCGTCCTAACACACATCAAGGTTTTATTGTAATGTTATTCAGAATATCATGTAAAGTATCTAAAGCTTAATCACATTAAAAACATTAAATGTGCCGAGGATATTTTCTAGGAATGACCTTTAAACATAAAAGTATACTACACCATCATGTTGATCTCAACTCAGACTCAATGGAATCAGAAATTCTATTAAAAAATGTACTTATTGAGCTGTTAAAACTCTTCTAACAAGAAGGAAATTATTGAGAGAGACTGGCAACAAAAAAGTAATACATAATTGTTTTCTGCTTACTCGGTACTTCAAACCAACCATACTGACAAATTTCTTCAATGTTTTTGAGAAGATAAATTTCAGCATTTAACCCACCACCCAAAAAAGGAAAATAATCTAGGAATAGCCAAATCTCCATATAAAATCAGAAATATTCAATGTTTGGAGACTACAATGTTTTGTTTTTATATTTAATTTTGCCAAATAATGTAAGAACAGCAAGGTGCATAATAATTGCCTAAAATTTTCCCCCTTATGATTTTTGATATCCTTAAACTGAACACTCTGTTTGGGAGGGGTGAGGGGTGGGGGGTGGGTTGGTTTGCAGTACAGGTCGCATGGAGTATCATGATTGACTAGCGGGGGGCATACATCAGCTGATAATTGAGGCATATCTTGTCCTAGCATTTACAATGCGCGGCAATAAACACTAACAACTGACCTAAATATAGCACTAACAAGCTGGCACCACATTCCCAGCCCAACTATGTACAATTGTCATGGAAACAAAATAAAATTCATCAGCTTTCCTTATTTTGATTACATACAAAAAATAAATGTATCTTTGGTATACAATCCTGATTAAAATGAAGCACATTACTATTTGAGTCAACAAAAACAAAATCAGAAAAAAAAAAAAATAAAAAAAAATTATAGCTTCCTGTTTTTGAACAGGCCACACCAGGCAATATACAAAATAATGAAAACTCCCTGTGGCAATATACAAAATAATGACAAGTCCCTGTGGTTGAGGCCAAGGGAAGTAACTCCTGCCGACACAAAGCTCCGGGCACACAACGAGCGACAAAAAGGAAACATGTAGAAACGCCACGTGGAGACAGTCAGACGTCAAAATCTACGTAGAAGAAAGCAAAGGAATTAAACGAGGTCACCACCAGAGAGTGTGACATACAAACACACAGACAAAGTATCAGGGATTCCCCTCCCCCACCATTACTCCATAAGCAAAAAGGCAATATATTTTTTAAAATTTAAAATGAAATCTATCAATTTTAAAATAGTTATAAATTTCTTAAGCAAGTGTTTTCTCAAAACGTTGGTAAGAATATTCCTGTAGGTGTAATTTAAATGACGGGATAAAATGCCTTCTTGACCCAGAGAAAATATCTTGATGATAGATAGACAAAGAAAAGAAGAGAGACAATAAGACATAGACATCTCCCCAACAGAATGTACTAAATGAACTATGCTTGTAGTCAAAAAGGAAAGTACACTTTATTACTCATAAAAATATCCTTTAATACATTAGTTTGACTTAGAATTGACAAGTTTTAAAGTAGTCAAAATTATCACACAATTCAAAATTAAACAGTGTGTTGTTAAATCACGAGAAATTCAAACCAAATCTGATCTTTTAGAATTTTAAACATACTTAATCTTTTTAAATTTGAAGATGGGCACATCCAAGTTGGGGAGTGTTAAATGTTGCTAATATGTAAAATATTTGTCTCAAAAACAAGTGGATTCTTTTAATACCTAGAAGGTGTAAGACACAATGTCAATTCTACAAATTGGAGGCTATACCAGAAGAAAACTGGTCAAAGAAAATGAAACTAAAAGGTATGTATTGTTACTGTCATATAATATTGAGAGTTTTATAAATGTCCTCTACAAAAATCATTCAAACTGAATAAAATGAATTTATTTTTTTGAGTCTTTGGACAACAAATAGATCATGCTTTCTACACACAGCTTTAAACACCTGCCACTACTAAAACACCAAGTACATGTGTACTGTACAAACAGATATTTACCAAGTCCTTACAGTGTGTTGCATCTTAAGGAGGCTGGGGTGGTCAATAAATTAACCATCAGATATAACTTCATGTTTTAGATAGCTTTTTGTATCTTAAAAGCTGTCAACAATCATTTGGCAAAAAAAATTATACATTATAGTTTAAATTTTTTTTTGTATATCTTTATATGGAGCTCTTCTTCTAAAGGAGATCAATATAGTCTAAAAATGGCCAAAACCACCCAGCCCTCTTAAACATTTAACACTGTAAAAAATACAAAAGAATCTTAAGGTGCTGGGCACCTGAAAATATTGTGCCACTCATTCCAGGACTCCATGCACACAACAAAACAACATTGATTGGCCAGTAACTTAATTTTGTATCATGTATTTTTTTTTTTTTAATTTCAGTTTAAGTGACAGAAGAGTTAGTTGGGTGTCCCACTCTCTGGTGATGTAGAGAAATAACAATCAGACAATGAATGAACACAGCCTCTACAGATCAAACCTGGACTTTCTAAGTTTTCTGTATAATATAGGAAATACAGCCTCTTTCATTTTATATTCATGCCTTACCAGAATCTTGTTCAAAATATATTCTTCAAGATTGCATGATTATTCAATCTTAAGACGTTGGGTACAATTACATGTAAGTGCATCACTTTATATTGCCTGGAAATTTTGCCATAAAATATGCTACTTGAAAGTCCAAATCTGGTATTAGAAGCTCTTTAATGAGATGATACACTCTACCAATCCATGAAAACAGAAATCAATTAAAATTCAGTGGCAAAGACATGTCTCTTTGATCATCTTGAATCAATAGCTTTTCATATGTTGTATAATGATGGAATCAGTTCATTTATTTCAAGACTTACACCTTAATTGCCATACACATGAAAGATAAAAAATATTTCAAAAGTCTGGAATATATTAAGGAATCAATTTCAGGCATCAACATTATAAAAAAATTATCATTGATTCAGAGGTTTGCTTGATTACAAGGATATGAAATGATGAGTTTATACAAATGTTTAAGAACAATCAGACATACAGAAGAAAATAAGGACAGTGGAATAAAGCAAGGGAAGAATTACATTTACAGGACAAAAGCCAACTGCTTGTTATTATACAAATTATGTTTTCTTCTCATAAAATAACTAACTCTCAGTACATTCAGTACTTTGATTTTTGTCAATACCCTGATAACAACAAACAGTTGGTGTTTGGAGAAATGACAGTCTCACAGACAAAACAACAGACAGGGTGGTCAACTACTGGACACCTGGGAGGATATCCCCTGGTCAGGCAGGAGGGGTGGGGAACTGCAGAGTCACAACAGAAAGTTAACCACAACACTGAAAAGTCAGAGGTGGTCATTTGTGTAAAATCTCCACTAGGTCAGGTGGCTGTTCTTCATTCCCTCACTGTGCCACCTACTAGTCCACCAGTATTTAGCATATACACTTCAGTTGATGTCGAGATGTAAGTGGAGGTGAATCAACCAATGGCTGCTCTTCTTTGTGATCATGTGACTACCCACAGATCATGTGATTACCCACTGATACAAAAAGGCTGATCTTACCTGATCTCCAAGTTCTTATGTGAAATGTGCTTTCATTAAATACCTACCACAGTCTCAGTAGACTTTGTCTGAGTGTCTGTCTGTACTATGTCTGTACTATGTGTACGTACCACAGTCTCAGTAGACTTTGTCTGAGTGTCTGTCTGTTATGTGTACCTACCACAGTCTCAGTAGACTTTGTCTGAGTGTCTGTCTGTTATGTGTACGTACCACAGTGTGCCTCTCTAGTAAGGTTTGCTGTCACTCTTCGGTCGCTTTAGCTGAACTTTAAGTCGTTTCATTCCGATCTGAAAGCCGTTCATCGCTTGTATGGCTGCCTGGGCCGACAAAGCATTGTCATAGCTCACAAATCCTATAAATAGACATGATGTAATAGTTTACAAGAATGGCACACATCTCAATAAAAGCCATTATGTAATCCCTAAGAACACTTAGTTCAAACTGTAGAAATGATTTATTTAACCCTTTTGTGCACATATACTTTGCCAATATTTTTTAAAGTAAATGACAAGTAGAAAAAGAGCTGTTCATTTTGGGACAGATCATTCCTCCCTACCTCCCCAAACTATGACTCATCATTATAGCATGCACCTCATTACTCCTTTGTTGCATCCCTCTTTCAGTTTCAGATTTCGTTACCCTCTCCCCAGATAATAACTTAGAGCAAAGAGTAAAATGAAATCTTTTGAAATACAAAAGGATGAATAGACAACTTTGTTGCTGGATGTATAATGATGAAGAAGCATTGAGGGAAACAATGTGTGTCAGAGTACATACTCACCAAAACATTTACTGAGGTTCGTCTGTTTATCTATGAAGACTTTGGCCGATATTACGGTTCCAAAAGGCAAGAATGTCTGCATTAAGTCCTGATCACTGAACTCTTGGGGGAGGTGGTAAATAAACAAGTTAGCACCATCTGGACCTGGAGAAAAACGAGGTGGTAAATAAATGTTAGCACCACCTGGACCAGTAAAAAACAAGGTGGTAAACAAACAAGTTAGCACCATCTGAGCCTGGAGAAAAAACAAGGTGGTAAATAAACAGGTTAGCACCATCTGAACCTGGAGAAAAACAAGGTGGTACATAAATGTTAGCACCACCTGGACCAGTAAAAAAACAAGGTGGTAAATAAATGTTAGCACCACCTGGACCAGTAAAAAAAGGTGGTAAACAAACAAGTTAGCACCACCTGGACCAGTAAAAAACAAGGTGGTAAATAAACAAGTTAGCACCATCTGGACCTGGAGAAAAAACAAGGTGGTAAACAAACAAGTTAGCACCATCTGGACCTGGAGAAAAAACAAGGTGGTAAATAAATATTAGCACCATCTGAACCAGTAAAAAACAAGGTGGTAAATAAAAGTTAGCACCACCTGGACCAGTAAAAAACAAGGTGGTAAACAAACAAGTTAGCACCATCTGGACCTGGAGAAAAAACAAAGTGGTAAATAAATGTTAGCACCATCTGGACCTAGTGAAAAAACAAGGTGGGTCCCTGTTAAGACTTTATGTTTATGAGTGACTCTATCTGTATGTCCATTACAGCTGGGACGATACAACTTTTTCTATTTCGATATGTATCATGATATTTGAGCCACAACACGATATGTATCATGATATGTTTAATTGCTTATAAAATCTTTTTTGCATTGAAATAAAAAAATTATTTCTTTGCAAATTCAAATAATTTATTCCAAATAGATGTTTATATGTTGTAAAACAAAAATATTTTACTCAAGTGTGTTAATTATTATTGATTTCATAATCTATATTTATATTTAGCGTATTTATTTTATATATTAAACCCCAGATGATAAAAAAAAAAAAAACAGAAGACAGATTTTTTGGCGATATTTCAATATTTCTTCATATGTATCGATATGCCTATTGTCCTCACAGATATCTCGATATTTCGATATATCATCCCAGCCCTAATGTCCATGTGTCTATTATGAATTTATGTGTGAATTTGAGTGACTTTGTTCACTGTCTCCCTGTCTGTATATATCTGTGTATCTCTACTATATTTTTTTGTGTGCTTTCAGTGACTTGGCTGTGTGTCTGCAAGCCTCTGTTCTGGTTTTATGCATGTTTTTCAGTGACTATGTTCATATGTCTGTCTGTATGTCTCTGTCTCTGATATGATTGTGTGTCTATGTCTGTTTCTCTTTATCTGTGTGTTTCTCTTACCCTCTGTCTATTTCCCTGCTGGTGAATTGGCCTGGGCCTGTTGTATTGTGTGTGTGTTTGTGAGTGACTCTGTTTTTATGTCTGTGTGTTTCTCTGTTATGACATTGTCTGTCTGGCTATATGTGTGTGTGTACATGTGTCTCTGTAATGACTTTGTCTATGTGTGTGTCTTACCCTCTATTTCTCTGCTGGTGAGTTGGCCTGGGCCTGTTGTATTGTGTGTGTGTTTGTGACTCTTTGTGTCTGTGTATCTCTATTATGACTTTGTCTGTGTGTTTCTCTGTTACAACTTTGTCTGTGTGTTTGTCTCACCTTCTGTCTGTTTCCCCACTGGTGAGTTGGCCTCGGACTTTTGTATTGTGTGTGTGTTTGTGAGTGACTCTGTTTTTATGTCTGTGTTTCTCTATTATTGTCTTTATGTCTATGTGTTTCTCTATTATAACTATGTCTGTATGTTTGTCTGTTATGACTTTGTCTGTGTGTTTTTCTGTTATAATTTTGTCTGGGTGTTTGTCTTACCCTCGGTCTGTTACTCTGCTTGGTGAGTTGGCCTGGGCCTTTTGTATTGTGTGTGTGTTTGTGAGTGACTCTGTCTTTATGTCTGTGTTTTTCTCTATTATGACTTTGTCTGTGTGTCTGTCTTACCCTCGGTCTGTTTCCCCGCTGGCGAGTTGGCCTGAGCCTGTTGTATTTGTTGAGCTGCTTGAGTGTTGAATGCATTTGGGAATGAAGCTGAAAAATATGAGGGTTATAAACATACATAACCCATATTACTTCATTTGATTAAAAAATTCATAAATATCAGATTCCTTCCAAAAAATAAATATTAGGACATGAAAACACTATAAAATCCCAAATCACCCACAAACACTGAACAAGAAGCATGTGACAGTTTTCTGTCCGGGTCCTCAATCCCTGAGGAGCCCCATGTAACTAATAACAACCAAAGGTCATACAGAGGTCATGAGTGCATATAATACAGTGTCAATCAACAAGTGGCTAGTTTTAAACAACAAAATGTAAACCAATAATAATTCTGCTGAATTCTTTAACTAATTCTTTATTACTTTGGTTTGATGCTAAAATCTGATTGCTTCTTAGAATCCCTACCAGGATTTTTCAGTTAATCCCTCTACAAAAATTGAGATCTATTTTATAATATCCTTTTCAATAAATCAATTTTTGTTTTTTTCCCAAGAATTCATGAATGCAGATCAACATTGAACACAAACTTTGTCAGCAGAATTGTTCTGGTTCCAAGAAAACACAAGAAGTAAAATAGGTACAACAAGTGAATACAAAAGCATTGACGTCCTAATGGGGCCCAGTAACATCTCCCTCCTAATAAAGGGCAATAACACCTCCCTTCAGCCCTGGGATAACAACATCTCCCTGTGTGAGAAATAAAGTCCTATGAATGAAAATAATTGCAAAAAATATTCATAACCTAAGGGGAATGAAAAAAATCAAGATAATTTTATAAATAAATTGCTTTATTATGTTTTAAGAAGTATCTGATTTGATGGTACTAAGGAATTTTAGTGAATTTAAGTTAAACAATTCCTTAACAATAAAAATCATGCATGCAATTACCACGATTACCCCACCTTTTGATGAAACACCTGGGAAATGAAACAAATATCTATCATGACATTTCAGTTATTTTCCTCAAAATAGGGGGAAAAATAACCTACTTACAAAAATAATTGTTCTCTATTCAAAACACTATTCATAAATTTTATCTGAGAAATCAGAATATAATAGTGAAGGGAAATGGTGAATTGTTTTAAAATTAATCAGGGTAGAAGTTATTTCTGTACTGTGATCAATGTTAGAAGTTTTTGTAACTCAGTCTGTATTCATTTTGAGGATGGGAGGAAATCTTGTATGAATTAAGTAAGTAGTTCTTCCCACTGCCTAGCTTCTGAGCCAGTTAAAAGTGAACATACACTTTGGATCATAAAGCAGGCAAAATTATTCAAATTAAAAATGATAACAGATCTCCAAGGATAATATATAAGATGAAAAGATACATGAAAAATACACACAAGCAGACAAGATAAAGTCCAAAAGCTATCAAATATATATATATAGGATATTCCACGTTTTGCAATTAAATATGGAATTTATTTAAACGTTGACAAGATTTTTTTTAGAAATTCTATGTGATGCATAAAAAATCCTGTTTAATGATCGAAATAAATTCCATGTCCAACTACACAACATTGAATTTTCTGTTTATTACATTTTCTTGGATTTTCTCTGCTCTCATCCCTTATAGTGTTCTAGTTAAACAATTGTGAGTTGACAATTGTACTTTGTAAACACAGATTTTAACAAGAACTTGGAGAAACTTTGGCTGTTAAAGTCAGTGTATCGGAATATTTTATTTTCTTTATCAAAATAGAATATAATCTCTTAAAAGCTGTCAAGAGAAATGTTTCCGAAGGAGAGTGTTGCGTTATTTTGCATCGATCTTGAAAATAAAGCTCACAACAATGAAAATGGCATATCTTTGAAAATATATGACTTAATCAATGGATAAAATACAGCATTTCAAAGTTGAAAATGTAATAAGTACATAATCTGATATACTGAAACACAACTATCACATTGGATAATACGGCTATAAATAACACTATCACATTGGCTATAAATAACTCTATCACATCAGCTATAAATAACACTACATGGTCTCTCTCCAAACATCACTGTCAACTGGAATGTTCATGCCTTAATCCTAAGACATTCATTGAACTTTATTTTTACTTGAAAGAAAAAGTCTAGCTTATTTAGATCCCACATTCTTTCTCCGAACTAAATCATAGACAAAATTTCTTTTAAAAAAAATTCTTAAATTTTTTTTTCTTAAAAGTATTTTGTCATCTAAATTTAGAACATTCGATTTGACAGTGTCTAAGCAGCAACCAACATCACATTAGTGGGTCTGTAAAAACAAGAGAAAATATTCAGGATCCAGTACACCAACACAGGGAGCAGAGTTATCTCTCTTCTTCTGAATCTTCAGAGCCAGGAGGAACAAAAAGTGTACCAGTACTCTGTTTATTTATTTGAAGAATATTAACATCATTATCGACCAATTTGGAAGTCATGGCAGACAAATGCTTAAATTTTAAAGCAAAATTCTTCATGAAATATATTAAAGAGTTGTCTGCCATGATTTAGTTTAGGGTCAGGGAGGATAACTCTGCCTCCATCAGAAGACTGTCATCGAAGCACGAGGAACACAACACAGCGGCCACACTCCTGAAATAAAAAGATCCACCAACCTTTTCCTGCGGGAGAGAGTAAACTGGACAAACCTGCGTATTGCTGGATCCCCGTATAGGCCTGGCTTAGAGCATCCATCCCCGCTGGGGCCGAAGAACCCCCCAGTCCATTAGACGTGACCCCCGGGGACACCGAGGCAAAGTTATTGTTACCGAGAGTCTGTAGACTGGCCAGGCCGCTCAGTGAGTTAGTGGGAGAGGTGCCCGTGACTGACCCTACAACGAACAGCACACAGTGAGCACAAAAAACCGTGTCAGCACCAAATTAACAGCACAGTCGCAGCAAAATATAAACAAGCATCAACACAGCTACACGGTAGAAAGTACAGTTATAAGCAGGCTGTCTTGATGAAAAAAAATATGTTTGCAAAGATAACAATTCTTATTAAAATATTTGGATGCATTACAAAAATTCTCTGTCTACAGATACCTTATAATACAACAGCACAGCGCAGCAACTACCAATGTTGCACAAATGCAAAATATTTCACTTCAACAAAACAGTATCTAATTGTCTGCACATTAACAGCACCAGTAACCCTCTTACTAACAACTACTGTGTTACTTAACTAGCTACCTAGCTAATAGTCAACCTAGCTAATAGCAAACCTAACTTTTTAAATAGTCAACCTAGCTAACAGCAAACCTAACTTTTTAAATAGTCAACCTAGCTAATGGTCAACCTCGCTAATAGCCAACCTAGCTAATAGTCAACCTAGCTTAAATTCAACCTAGCTAATAGCCAACCTAGCTAATAGTCAATCTAGCTAATAGTCAACCTAGCTAAAATTCAACCTAGCTAATAGTCAACCTAGCTTATAGTCAAGTTACTTAGTTTATACTTCAATTCATACCAAATACAACTGTCTGACAACAGTTGTCAAATGACATGATCTCTGTCAAAAATATATACACAGAGACTGCTGTACTTATAGGGGTAGAGTAACAAGGTACTATACATTTGATTCAGAATATGCATCATACAAAACCAATGTTGTCAATGCCCGATGTGTACACAGCAAACTTAATGTGTAACAGTGCTACCATCAACTCACCCTGACCAATTGTAAACAATACTTACAGGTCTATCATGTACTTATTTATTGCTATTAATGAGTTTATGCTTTCATTTAACATTTATAAATATTACTCAATGCTGGCCTTATTCCTGTTACTTTATTCTTTCATTCAAAACTTTAAAGATCTCAGAGAACCAATTCAACAAATGCCAAAAGAAAAAAAAATCAAACAGATCTATTTTGTCTTCCTCCTGAATTTCTACATATAAACTAGTAGGAACATTTAACTTAAACAATGATGATGTATAAAAGACGAACTCGGCAAAAAAATCAATTTCAAATGCTTTTCAACTCTCAAATCATTCCATAAATCTTGAACCCAAGAGAAAAGTTCCCTACACCAAAGAGACTTAACTGATGCATGCTGGAAAAATGTCACACAGAATGGTGCATGCTGGGACAGATGCTCACCTGGGGGTCCTCCCTTTGGAGCAAAAGCTGCATGCAATCAAAAATAGAGATGATGTAATCACGGGGAGAACATGTGACACAAGTGGTGGATACATCACGAAACAAGTGATTGAGATCACGCTACTGGGCCATAAAACTTAGAGCTCACTTTTGATCTTAGTCTCACTTTTTCACTCTATATTCCTTTTGTAAAAGAATGTGGGGATCAAAAGTGAGCTCAACTAAGTTTTATAGCTCAGAAGCCTGGACTGGACCAAGTGACTGAGACTCTGACCAACTGATTGTAGAATGCTTCAGATCAAGAGTCCCAAACTTCAGGCTTTTATTTACAGACAACAATCTAAGAGATGCGCATTCATCAGTTCAGTGCAAATTCATACTGGTCGATGATAATGAGTAAAAAACATAAAAGAATATGTTCCCAGCATGAGTTTCTTAAAACCCATTATCCCAATTTTTCTGGCATGTGTCAAATCTACATGATTTATGGTATTTTATCTAATTTTTAAAAAAACAATTATAAGCATCATTATTTTGTTCTAATGAACACTGTTTGCATTTACAAAATGAAATTCTTAAGTACATAAAAAGAACAAAACATTTTAATTAGTATGTGGTTTGAACATCATCCCTCAATTAAGTGAGTTCTTGGATAATTTTCTTGTTAAAAGGCAATTAGTGAAAGATATTGCTGGTCTGCGAGCCCACTGTGTGACTACTTTTACCCTGATCAGATAATCATCACTACTTTTACCTGAAGCTGAGGTGGAGTTCGTCACTCCCGCTATTTGATTTAACGCTGCTATGCTCTGCATTCCCAAAGCACCAATACCACCTGCTGCTAAAAAACAAAAGTTAATCATGTTATGTATCTCAAGCTCAGTTTTTTCTGGCTAGTTCATTTGATCAACATGATCAAGGATGAATGGAATTTTCTTAGTTGCACATGCAAGTGCAGGTAACCGCCAAAACATAATACACAAAATTTTGAGTGTTGTTGAATTAACTAGTACCTATCTCTGTGATATAACCCAGCCATTACTCTTATCTTTAACTCTGCAATGCTCCCCATTTGACAATATTTCGAGGCAATTCAATATAAATAAAAGAGAAAATTAATATCCAATAGATTTATTCAGAAATTTCAAGCTGGTTTGACATTAAACTTTGCTCATCACTTGTATGAAAGTTTTCACTTCATATAATTGTGTTTTGGTTCAAGATGTACCGGAATACCTGTAGCTGGGGGTGAGAAGTAAGCCCCTATAGGTTCTGTGGGGGTGGGGGTGTATGTTTTAGTATACACTTACCTGGGTTAACCATGGTGGAGATGAGAGCGGCCAGACCCTGTTAACTAGTTCTCTGTGTGTGTGTTGGGGGGGGGATATGTTGATTTACACTTACCTGGGTTAACCATGATGGAGGTGAGAGCGGCCAGACCCTGTTAATTAGTTCTCTGTGTGTGTGTGTGGGGGGGGGGGATGTTGATTTACACTAACCTGGGTTTCCCGTGGCGGAGGTGAGAGCGGCCAGACCCTGCAAGTTCTGGAGGGGTAATGTTGGTTCACCTGTAACAAAGACCACACAGGTAAGTCATTTCCAGGTCAAACGAAGGGGGAGGGGTGGTCAGTCATAAGAGGATTCTCTTATTCCGAGTCTTAGTGCTTTTATAATCTTCAATATTTTGAGTTTTTGTTTCAAGAAAAAATTTAATTTTTCACTGTCTTTTAAATTTCATGAAAAAAAGAAAAAGAACTAGAACTGTCCAAACGGGACAAAATACCCCCCGCTGGGTTTTTCAGAAGTAAGTTTTTCCATAATAAAAATATGTATCAAACACGATATGAAATGTTTATTCCAGTGACCTTGAACTTCCCCAGATAATCTTGGGTCAAGGTCATGACACACCCTTGGGTCATGGGCAATCTTTCAGTGAAATGAGAACCTACCAAGTTTATCCATAAGAAAGATATGGACCGGACACGAATTATGATATTTTTCTTCCAGTGACCTTGAACTACCCCAAATGACCTTGGGTCAAGGTCATGACACACCCTTGGGTCATAGGCAATCTTTCAGTGAAATGAGAACCTACCAAGTTTATCCATAAGAAAGATATGGACGTGACACGAATTATGATATTTTTCTTCCAGTGACCTTGAACTACCCCAAATGACCTTGGGTCAAGGTCATGACGCACCCTTGGGTCATGGGCAATCTTTGTGTGAAATGAGAATCTACCAAGTTTATCCATAAGAAAGATATGGACGTGACACGAATTATGATATTTTTCTTCCAGTGACCATGAACTTCCCCAAATGACCTTGGGTCAAGGTCATTACACACCCTTGGGTCATGGGCAATCTTTGTGTGAAATGAGAATCTACCAAGTTTATCCATAAGAAAGATATGGACCGGACACGAATTATGATATTTTTCTTCCAGTGACCATGAACTTCCCCAAATGACCTTGGGTCAAGGTCATGACACACCCTTGGGTCATGGGCAATCTTTGTGTGAAATAAAAACCTACCAAGTTTATCCATAAGAAAGATATGGACCGGACAGGAATTATGAAAATTTTCTTCCAGTGACCTTGAACTTTCCAAATTGACCTTGGGTCAAGGTCATGACACATCCTTGGGTCATGGGCAATCTTTGTGTGAAATGAGAACCTACCAAGTTTATCTATGTGTGTGTATCAAACATGATTTTTGAAAATTTTCTTCCAGTGACCTTGAACTTTCTCAAATGACCTTGGGTCATGGTCATGACACACCCTTGGGTCATGGGCAATCTTTGTGTGAAATGAGAACCTACCAAGTTTATCAATAAGAAAGATATGGACCGGACACGTTATGAAATTTGTGTGTGTGTTGTGACCTTGAACTTCCCCAAATGACCTTGGGTCAAGGTCATGACACACCCTTAGGTCATGAGCAATCTTAGTGTGGAGTAGTAGATTCTAATGTCCCTCTGTAAGAAAGATATGGACCGGACACGATTGCACAGACAGACGGACAGCTAGACAGACGGACGGACGGACAGACGGACAGACTTTTACAGACGGACAGACGGACAGAACAAGGTGATTTTTACACCTTTTAAACTTTCGTTTGCGGGGGGTATAAAAATTTCAGGTAAAAGAAAATGCTATCCTGAGTAAACAGCCAGAATAAGCAATTGTGTTGTCAACACTTTATATAAACAAAAAGCCTTAATATAGTCAAAGTTAAACAGGAGGTATATACATATTTTTTATAGTAAAATCTGTTTATCATGCAGGTAAAAAGAAATGTAAATTAGGTCCCTCCATCTAATCAAAAGAGCTGTATAATAATACTGTTATCAAAGTTTGCCTGCACTCAGACAGGAAATGCCATCTTGACTCACTTCCTGTCACTGAGTGCTACATTACACACAAAGAGAAGACGACTTATTAACATCAGAGTTAGAATGTTAATAACAACATATAAAGAAAATATAACATAATATTATATAGAACAGTGTTCCCACTGATAGCATTCTTAATTTTATCAAACTTCAAACTGATTACATGCAAAAATAAAATAATCATATATAAATATCATAAACATGCATACATAAATGCAGAGTCAAATAAATAAAGAATAATAAATTATGCAACAATGGAGATATAATTGCAGGAAACTACTTCTTCATTTAGAAATGCTTTGTGTTCATTATAAATAGAGAGAGGAGAAAAAAATTACATGCAAGAGAGGGTGTTCAGGAGAAAACATGTGCAACTTTGTTTTCCCTTTATATATATATCTTCTGAATACTTTATGCAGATACAAATCAAATGAAAGAATCCAGGCCTAGCCAAAATTTGTGAAACCAAAATGCACAGAACACAAGTGCCTTTATTAAAACCCCAATTGTTCTATTAAGCCCCCACTTTAAAAAATCAAAATTGGTAAAGAACTAGAAAAGTGTATCTATTAACTAACATCAAACAGAATGGTGAAAGAGGTTCATTGGTATTCTTATGAATACCAAAACTAAATAGTGCTCACAAAACAAGGGTCACAGCTAGAGAATAAAAGTACAGTACATTCACATGCAAAATTTAAACTGCCAGAAAAACAATACAAGAAGAATAGTGAACTGTGCTGTAAAACAGAGGCCCAGTGTTCAAACTGCACTTATCACAATAAATGTAGCTGTCTACACTCTAATATGTATAGGACAACTGTTTTGGCAAAAAAATATAATGCAAAGAAAACAAAATATATGCATGCAAAAAAAAAAAAATATAACAAAAAGCCAGGAAAAAGTACAGCTAGCATTAACAAGGAGAGAAGAAATACGGGCCTTACTGTATCAGAAAAATAACAGACTACAGTCAACCCTGTATATCACAGTCAATTCAAGGCTTCAAAAGGCAAAAGTACCATAAAATTACATTTAGCCCTGAAACTTTTCAATGTTTACAATGTAAGTTAAAAGATTTCCCATTTTTTAGCCTTAGGTATATGTTACAATTTTATATTTTAACCACATGTCAAAAGAGACTGTGAGCAGAATTGACCCGAGTTTTTTTTACAGTAAGGCCAACTTAGCATTGTCTGCTGTACAGAGTACCTGATCCACCGGAATTACTAGCACTGGTTGGCGTATGACAGGGAGATGACATATTCCCCCCGTTGTTGTTGGTTTGGAGCGCGGCGAGGGCCGCTAGAAGCCCTGTCGATTGAATTAAACCATCACTAACATTTCTATCCATACATACATCTGTCAAATTCCATATGGAGGCAATATTGCATAAAAATTATTTTAAAATTTCAATATCAAAATAGAACTTTACAGGAGTTTAAAAAAAACAATAAATACTGTAAAAAAAACATTAACACACCATTTCACAAAAAGAAGAAAAAAAAGCAAAAGATATTGGTTCACAACCACCATCTACCAGATATAAAACAACATTAAAATTTCACTCCAATCCTGTTAATGTATAGGTATGTATGCTGAAGCCAAGAAAGGAAGGTCATATACATGTACAGCCACATATGATGTACACAAACATATGTTTCTATTTAATAAAACAAGACTGGCACAATGGGTCACTCCCCTATACCATGTAAACACAGCAAATCTGAGATTAATAATATGAATATATTACTGTGTAATTCTTCACAATATATACTGGCCAATATCAAAAGGGCAAAATAAATGCAAGCAGGGCAATATCAATTTGGAAAGGGGGCAAAACACATTACAAACAGGGCAAAACTAATTAAGAAAGGACAAAACAAAATTCCAAAAAAGCAAATGCACTGCCTGGAATTCTAGAAGTAAAATACATGAAAACTTTTCAATGTTAATCCAAAGCAAAACCTGATTACAAGAGATATGATTAAATTCAAAGTAGCAATATTTATTCCACAAGAGTAAAATTCCAACTATGCTAGTAAAAAAATAAAGGAAAAGAGAAGATGTAATGGTCTGATTTTTCATTTTTCATATTTTGAGTATATGAAAGGAAATATATTAACAGAACAGAGTAATATCTGATAAACAGGGCAGGACAATTTCAGTTCAATAGGGCAGTGCAGTATTAGATTAACAGGGCAGGCCAGGGCAATATCAGATTAAAAGGGCAAGACAGTATTGGATCAATAGGGCAGGCCAGTATCAGACACACAGGGCTGGGCAGCATCATATGACAAGGCAGGGCAATATCAGATTAACAGGGGAGGACAGAACAATATCAGATTAACAGGGGGAGGAGAGGGCAATATCAGATTAACAGGGGAGGAAAGGGCAATATTAGATTAACAGGGCAGGGCAGTATTTGAATAATGGCATAAACAGTAAAATACCTGGAAGGCAAAGCTTCTTTTTTAAGTTTAAATCTTCCAAAGGAAATCATTATAAACAAATGAAGATGAATAGACAAGAATTCATTTATTAATTCTTTGAATATTTGTGGAAAAACCTAAACTTAAGGGTTCATCTTTCATCAGATCAGGACTATTTTTTTTGTGTCCAATGCAGTGACCAAAACAGAAAGCTTAGGAGATGAATAGGGTATCATTTCCCAGTTTAATTGCTTTGAACCCCCCTCCCTTTATATGAATATTTTATAAATTTTAACGGAGGTCATTTCATTTTTTTAAATGCACTTATTGAGATTATTGAGACAAACTTGGCTTACGTAAATTCCTATGAAGAAATTTGACATATTGTAACAAAGGCACACTTAAAAGATGGTTCCCATTGTTAAATCATAGCAAAACTAATGTCCCAATTAAAAGAAGAAAACTGTCCACCAAAATGTTGAGACTCTACCATCAGATACAGAGGAAAAAAATCAATATATAAAAAATCAAAGAATTAAGGATGTCCAAATCAAATAGCCATTTCATATTTAGATACCAAGAAAAAAAAATTTTCTGGTGAACTAATACTTTTCAAGTAAAGATTTCATTACATCATTAACCATTTCTTAAGTCTTCATAATTATTTTGCTCTAAAAAATTAAAGCGAAATGTACTTTTAAATAAAGACTTTAAAAAACTCCATCATGTTTTCTGCAAAATGAAATATTTATATTATCTTTTTATTTCAAGAACTTGTGTAAATTTAATTCCTTTATGTGACCTTGATTTGGACATTCCCGCCCACTACACTAGACACCAGAGAGAGGCTACAAGCAACAGTTACCATGGTAACATATACCTGTATTATTTCCGGATGCTGCCGCATTTGCTGCTGCCAACAGTAACTGCTGAACAGCGAGAGGGTTAGTACCGCTGGTGGCCGACGCTGAAAATCACGCCACATACGTGTTACACCTTAATCAGATGTCATGTCAGATTATCATGACAATTAAATATCTTAAACAGTGTTTTCCCGAAATGGCTACAGGCCAAATTGAGATAGAAGGCCTAATAACATATTACAGGTCATATTGACTGCTTCATTCTATAAGAATACTGCTCAGAAATCAGAAATTCAAAATATTACTACTGTCGAAGGCCATAAACCCTTCAAAGCCTGTTACCCTTGACCTCTTAGCATTTTATTTTGAAATAAAGGGAAAACACTGCATAAAAAATACATAGCTTAAGTTCATACAAAAATTAGAATCAAACATTTCATAAACATTCTGTATTCATCTCTCCTTTCAAAACCTTTTCTTTCATAACATCTAATGTTCTATGCACAAGTAAGTTTATTTCTTCCCATTATGGCAGTATACATCATGCACAAAGCTTCCTAGAATTTGGAATGTTAATAATTAATACTGTAATTCAGGTCTCGTTGCGGCATGCCTAAGTCTCAAATTTGGAAGCTCTACTTCAAGACATCAATGCTTTAGTTGGTCTATATGTATTATTTGGTTTGAAATGTTACATATCACATAATGCAATCATGTTCATAAAGAAACAAAAAACAAGACAAGCTACAAAAATAATTGTTTAAAAGCTACATCTTTTTCAAATAGCCCAAAATATCTGACTCCTTGGATATTTAACAAGTTGATAACTACTTGGGGTGATTTTTATTAATAAGTCATTTGGCCATGACCCAGTGTGCACTGTAATAAAAAGATGTGACACTGCCTGTTTCTACCACCAGGGGGCACCTTACCTAGATTTCCTGTGTTGAGGAGTCCCAGATTTCCAGCCATTGCTGCCTGTTGTAACAACTACAAATACAAAAAAATGTAACATTAATTTCTATTGGTTAATAAAACACACATAACAAGAATTATACGTGTCAGATAAATTTACATTTTCTCACTTAAAACAAGGATAATATAATAAAATCTTTCATTGGGTAACAAATCTAAAAACAGTGTTGAATAATAAATGCTCAAATCTCTAGACAAAATTTTCATCAGATTCAAGCTATAGTATATAGTAATAATGATTTTTTTCAGCATATTAGCTGACTATATTTTTAAAGTCTTGATTGTATCATTTAGCATGTTTAGAACATGTACACAAATATATCATATGACTGACCTATACTGTAATTACATGGACTTTGTCTGTGAATTAGACAAAAACAAACCTAATGATACTTTTTGATTAAGCTGATCATAAACTCTGCAGGATTGCAAGATTTCAGTGAACTAAATCTCAGATAAAATATTTTCTACTTAAGCCACTGAATTTCAATCTCTGAGAGGCACAATTTCACACAGGCTGAAGCATTAAACAACAGGAGACGGGTTTAGAAGTTTTTTAGCCAGCCCGGTAGAAGGCAGATGTCTTCTTTTTATTAAGGCTGCACTGCAGGACCACATTCTAATACAGATTACATGGATACCAGGGCTTCTAGAAAATTGTAGAAAAAAAAATATAAGAAACCGCAGCTGTATCATGTTTTCGATGTCTAGAGAGATTCTCTAGAAACAATTAAATTTTATACAAGATTAGCTTTGAAATGGAAAGAAAGGCCCATCAAAGAGATCATTCCCTCACAGTAAAGGGTTAACATTACGCCTACCCCTCCAAAGTCACACACAAACATGGTGACATTTTTTTCTTCATGCATAGAAGCAGTCTGCTGATAGCCTACACCTACATGTGGTAAACAACAATCTGTGTCTCCTACAGCCTGTCTCCAACATTAATATTCTGATCTGTACGCTACTTCAAATTCCTCTTTATCACTCAATCACAAATGTGTGATTTTACAAGTGATCACACTATTTGAAACAGACATTAAATAAAATTATTATGGAAAATTGCAGATGAAACAGCAGATTATACTACTGTAGTAGAAATGGAGGGAGATCAACATCACAAGAAGTCGATAATTCACTAATCATAAACAATCAGTCAATAAGATACACCTGAATGCATCACCTATTTATATATAGGTCATATTGGACAAAATCAGAGCTACCTGTCTGTAAAACCACTTCCTTCATCTTCTAATATACCTGTAACCTGCAATCTAAAAACTAGCATTCCTAAACAAGTTCTATTATCAGCCTTTCTTTGAGAGGCAACAATTATCTAAAGTCGAAGGTCAGACAAAAAACCCTTACAGAGGAAGTTCCCCATTATAATACGTCTGTAATCCCCCATCATAATACGTCTGTAATCTAACAATCTCAAATAATGTACAGTCAATTTACTACAAGAATGTTACATAAAACATTGTCTACACCACACTCATAAAAACACCAAAACAACAGGGTCTGTGCCTGGAAATGGCTACCAAATAATATGGTCAGATTTATTGTTAAACTCACAAATTTTTACTGTTTTCCAAAAAAGCAGCAAATTTTATAAAATCAAAAACTCAAAAAAACAAAACCAATCTGCACTGCTGACCTTATCTTAATTGCATCTAATGGACAGCTGTCTATCTCATAAAACATTGCACTTAACTATGTTGTACTTATATTCCATATCAATGATCATTGTTCGTAACTACCATCCGAGACATAAATGATAAGAACTATCCTTTCTGTCTGATAGAGTGGAAGGGGCAGGGAGGAAAATATTTGCCCTTCCCTATGCATCATTTATACAACACATTGAAAAGATAAAGCATGCTACCTTCTATGTATACTTACCAAGCTATGGAGGGGGAGGGGGGGAGAAAACCCATTTCCCCCATGACTACTGGTTTTATACTGGGAGAAGGCACCTGTTTTTCATGCTGGGGAGGGAGATGAAGGAAACACCTCTTCCTACGCATACTTCCTGGGATATGTTATAGGTAAGGAATCAATACTTCCCCTTTTTTTTCAAAAAAGGGAGCCCCTCCCTCTATAGATTACTTATTTGAGGGACAAGATGTTCCTTCTTATAAACTTCTTTTGATATCTTGGAGAAGGGGGAGATTATTACTAACCCCCCCCCATCCCACCATCACCAAAGAGAAAGTACTGTGATATACCGTATAAGTGGAAATTTTAACGAGATAGAAATTTAGCGATTTCTACCTAAAAACTGGTGTTTTATTTTAGAGAGAATTAATTTTTGCGATTTTAAAGTGCTAACTAAGGAAGCTATTACAAATAATACACATTTAATTTTTAGCGATATTCAATTTTAGCGATGTCAGCACCCTCGCTAATAATTCCAAAATTAAATCCTCGCTAAAAATTCTACTTATACTGTATTGGAGGGAGAAGATACTCTTTTCTATGTTTACTTTTGAGTTATACCAAAAGGGGGAGGGTGGTGCCCATCCTCTTTCTGATATATTGAGTGGGGAAGTGTCCCTACTGTATGTGATGTATTGGAGAAGGGGGAGGTGCCCCTCCTTTCTGTGATGTATTAGGGGAGGGGGTGAGACCTTCCTTCTCTATACTTACTGTGATATATTGGGGGGAGAAGCCAGCCACACCCCCTGCTGATATGTTCCAGAGATTTTGATTTATTTGTTGAATTTTTTTCGCTTCCTTTTCTTTCTGTGTATCTGCAAACTTCACAACAATAGGTGATGAACAACCCTGAAAGAAAGATTTTTCTCATATCAGTTTAAATGAGTCTTTGGTAAATCGAAGTATAATGGAGGATATATTTAAGACCAAGTTTGAAGCAAATAAATTTAATTGTGATGTCATTCAATAACTGCTATATTGAAATCAATTTTAATTCAAGCAGTGCCTGAGTTTCAATATCCACTAAAACATTTTTAACGAAACCTAAGCTGGAAGATACTAAAATTCAATTAATGAACTTGAGAGAAAATTCTTGAGCATACGATATTAAGACAAACCAAAACCCCAATATTCCATCTCAGTGTTTTGTTTCTACAACTGTATGAGTGTAATACAGGGAGAGCTTCTCTCTGCAGTTCTTTTCTTACCTCCATGGTCTGTGAGTGATGCATGTTCTTTATGGCATTCAGAGCGGACTGTCTATTGGCATACGTCACAAAAGCACATCCTGAAATATTATGGATCAATAAACATAAATGAACAAAGAGTGTTGGAGATTTTACTTCAGTTCATATTTCAAAATTTTATTCAGAAGCAGTTTGTTTTCAATCTATATTTGTCAGTAATATGTGAAAAGTTTTCTCTAGAACATTAAGTCACCCCCCCCCCCCCCCCCCCCCCCCCCCGCCAAAGAAAAACCTGCTGATGGTACATTTTCTCTTTAACTCTATCATGTATCTGATACACTTAGCAAACACTAAGAGAGCCCTGTTTGACTGTTACTATAAATAGATGACCTCGACTTTGTCCGTTCTGATCCCTCAGTATTGTACAGTCCTCTATTGAACCAAAGGGAGCAAACATCATTTTGACATCACTCTCTGAGCACTTCTTGGAAATCATCCCAACAAATAACTTCCTTTCCTCTACAAAACAAAAGAAGTAGTCTGAAATGTTATTTATCTGTACCAATGCTCTTGCCTTAATGAAAGCAAATGGAAGGCACATATTTGCTCTACAGAAAAACGGTCTGAAAATGACCTTGACAAATAATTCATTTGAAATGAAGAATAACTGATCATCTATGAAATGTCAAATCACGTAACACATGAATATATCAGAACTAGGGATTATCCGAAATATCAGTGCATATACTAGTAAGAATTACAGAATAGAATGCTATAGCTAACTTCTTGACAGTCTCACTGTGTTTGAGTCATCAAGGTTGGACTGTAGCAGATACATATGCCTCATTTATACATGTGTAAACCAAAAACTAGTAAATTACAATCAAATGAGTAATTGTGTAAGTTATTTATAACTGTGGTGCCTTAAATACAGTCACCTTATTCTAACGAAGTCTTCTCATGAATGGCATTATAAAATTTTCCATAAAAAATCAAATTACACACATCTTCATCAGTCTATATAGTCTACCACAAGAAACATGCTGCTGTTAGAAGTCTCTTGGTGCTCTCTTTAATTGGGAAAAGGCTTTGAAATTTGCATGTTGGTTCCTAATACAGACTTGCCCATCTGCCTATATCTGATTTTTCCCTCTGTGAATTCTATTTTTTCCAAGTCTGAAGGGAAAACATGAAGGTTTTCCCGCATGTTTATTATTTATTTATCATTTGCTTAGTAATCAACAAAAATAGACAGCTGTGTGTAATTGATCCTCTACTTAAAGTTTTACTTAAAAGGTAGAAATAAATTTCTTTCCATGATGGATAAACAGTGATCTATCATCAATTATTAAGGCCACTGTCTTATACTGTGATTTACTAATCCTGTGTGGCTAAATGTACAGTAGATTACACCACCGTTTTTATTGACTTTGACAATTACAGGTCCCTGTGTGGTTTTAAGGGGCATCCCTATGTGGTAAGAAAAACAGTGAATTTGACAATGGAAACTGTCCATTAATATTGTTGTTTTACATCAGACAGGTATAGATAAGAACTCTGTCAGCAATAGACCACATGGAGTGATTCAACATTCAAAAAAATTCATGGTATAGAAATGAAAACAATACGGTTACATAACGAATTATTTTTTACACAACAGACATTGTACAGGTTCGTAATCAACACGTACCATTCCTCTTCTCGCTGTCTGCGGGTTTCATCTGAATGGGATGGTGCATCTAGAACAAAAAACAAAAAAAAAATCTTTATGCACTTGAAATATTGATAAAATAAAAACATTGCAAAGATACTGCAAAAAATAGGAGTGAAAATCGATGATGGGTTTTGAAGATAGAGCTTTAATTTAAAAGTTGTCTTAAACAAGACTTGTTTTCAAAATAAAGTGTTCATGGGAATAGTTATTTCTTTGCCTCTCAACTTGGCCTCTTAACTACGACCTTGACTTAAAGCTTTTGCCTTACATATGACCTTGACCTAAAATAGACCTAGAATAGAGGGATTCTTTGACTAAATGATACTTATATTTGGGTCCATTTGTTTCAATACCTTGTAATTTTGTCCCTTTGTCTCAGCCCTACAAACTTGCGTTCTGTTTTGTTGAGCCTAGACTCTCAGTAACTGAGACTGCACCGAGTCATTGACACTCGTATGAACTAAGGAACCTGTTACCTGGGACTGACATAACGAGGCGATAATTAGCTTCAATAAAACACGAGTGATTTGTTAAGGATGAAGCCCCCATTGTGATCTACTGCGGTCCGTCAGGCACAGCAGCAATCAGTCTACTGTATTATTGATTCCCATTCACAGCAATTAATGTCCAGAGAATGGGGAGGATAATCACCCATTACACTACAGACCTGTATGATACTACAGGTAAACAACATGGATTCTCCCTTGTTTGGTGTCATTTCCAGGGGAGGTTCTGATATATATTAATAGATTCCTTGGTGGTTCCCTTTCCACTGGGTATATTCTCATACATGATGGCGGGGATATTTTCATTTTGGGTTTTTTCATGAGAAATCAGAGAATTTAATTTACAATCACAGTGGGGGGGGGGGGGGGGTAATTTTCCATTATTAGGATGTGATGGTTCTAAACCTGAGAGAGTTTTAGTATTCCACTGGGAATATTCCAAGTAGATTCTTCTACTAGTGAAATTCCAGGAGATTTCCTCTCCACTCTGTACCTGTCCTTCTGTCTGGGATCAGGGGACTCCCGCTATACTTGTTACTTTGTTAGAGGACTTCATTGTGCTACGATCACATTCAAAGAAGATTCTCTCTATTAGAATTATGAGCTCCTCCTCATGTATGAAAGAACATAACCAGGAACACACAGTTTTCTAGAGTGAAATTTCTAATCACATTAACCCTCTACCACTTTGTATTGCAATTTTATTTAGTTACAACCCCCTAATAGTCCAGATATCTGATGGAATAAAATAAAGAATTCTTTCCACTTCATGCAGTGCAAAGCTAATGTCTGTCTTGCACCAATTACAGAGATGAGTACACATACCTATAAGATTCCCTCAGTCTGAATACCTGTGTAATTCAGAGTGACGGCTACAGAATGCTATACACTCATGTCAATACGGATTCCCCAGTAATATAAAGAGACTAAGGCATCCCCATCATGTCACAATGAGGCCATCAGCCAATCTGAAACTACCGCCTGTGTATTACCTATTTACCAAACCCCAAACAACTTGCAGACGAATTGCATTCTTCCTGCTCCATAATACGTATGGTTTACCATAAGTTTAGCTATGACTTCCACTTCAAGAATGGATTCTCATATTGATGACATTCGTACAGAAATTTTTGCGTAACTGCAGTTGTTTTGTCATGTTTGTAGGATCTACTATCTTTATTTATAACTTTTCACCAAAGAAATAAATCTTGTCGGCTTGCCAATTACATTAAACTATTCTCTAAAGGATTTTTATTTCAGCCAATCATTTTGGAATATCCAAATTGCACAAAATGATTTCCACCAATCAGATTGGATGATTCAGTCTGAGGTGAATGACCGAGCTCTTCTTTATTGATGAACATGCTACTGTACATTAATGACCTTTTATCCTAGACATGCTGAAGTCTCTTACATGCTACATGTATACAACATAAATTAATATCTTAACTATTTAAAGTTTTAAGAACATAGTATACTATAAAATGGACTTGGGATGTGCTACGTGTCAGATATATTCGATCACCACCCTGCTTTGCAGTTCCCCGCTAAACAAGCCTATAATTTGCCTGTGTCAGTGTGTGACAGGTCTGACAGATTAACTCTGATCTACCATTGATTTCTTCTTTAGATCATATTTGTCCAATTTGGCTTGGAACAAGAATCTCGACTTTAAAACATCTGAGAGAGAAGAATGGAAGGTCCAAATTAATCAAGTCGTCTTCTGAATATTCTTATAATCATAGAATATTGACAGAGAACTACCACTACAGAGAAATAATGCTTCTATAGTAGTAAAGAAAACAAAAACTGGGATTCAGTTTCATTGATCAACTCAAGTAAAGCTGGAGATGAGTTGAGCAAAACATGGATCAGTTGAGCTGTGCTATGTAACACAAGGGAACAGGATAAGTTGGGTGACACATGGAGACCAGTTAAGTTGGGTGACACATAGGGACCAGTTAAGTTGGGTGACACATAGGGACCAGTTAAGTTGGGTGACACATAGGGACCAGTTAAGTTGGGTGACACATAGGGACCAGTTAAGTTGGGTGACACATAGGGACCAGTTAAGTTGGGTGACACATAGGGACCACTTAAGTTGGGTGACACATAGGGACCAGTTAAGTTGGCCAAGCATGTAGGGACCAGTATAAGTAATGAGAACCTCACTACAATGAGTCTGACATCCCAGTACTTAGTATAATCTTCATCTTACTTAACATCAGAAATCAGCTAAAACCTCAGTCTAGGTATCTCAGTAATAAACAAATGCTTTACATACTCTATTGACGTCAACCATTACACCTAGCACATGCAGTTATAAGCATTTCAGAATCATTTTATACAGCTTAAAAGTATATATAGCTACCCACAAATTTGCAACCTGACTCCTATCAATGCCTATTGACAATTAACATGATAAATATTGGGTACAATTTATGTGAGAGATAAAGTTATGTGTAGGCTTATAAGGACGCTAATTTGAGTGAATATGGTTTAGCGTATTTTTTTTCCTTTTCAGTAATGTTTGCTCCTTGTTTCTGTACTTATTTTTTACATGATTATAACTGATCGATGACTAAGTGTTAATATTGTGGGAGTAGGAATGACACTTGATAAATAGCATTGTAAGAGATGACCATGTAATCTTTCATTAACAGCCAATGTATCACCAGAAGTCACAGAGAGATTGTCAACAGGCTTTCTCATCGAGATCAATATCCCTGTTTTTCCTGGAGAAATCGTGAGGGCGAGATAAACGTCTTCATCGAATTAATCCTTAACTTCTCAACAACAATCCGAAGGCTGATAAACGCAATAAATGTTATTGCTTCAAAAACAGGACACTTTCACTTTATTTTTCTGGTAATTCCTGACGACAAAATCATAATTCTGTTTGACATCTCTATAACTCTGGCTTCCTAAGACCGACATCTCTAAATCCCCTAACGGTAAAACCTCTCATTGAGTGTTCCGTTCTCAATACCTCACTTTAACACTTCTAAACAAAAGATGACAAGTCTTCTAAAGGAAAGAGTTTACGATTAACACTGTGGTGACAACCTCTCATCTTCAGTATCCCCCATCATTAACTCTATACTCCATGTTCACAGCAACCAAAACTTACAAATCTCTGTAACTACTATAATCATCATTGTTCCTGGGGGTCAATGTTCGTAGATAACAAAAATTTCAATGGTTCGCGGGGATGTAACTTTGTGGGTAACTTTCATATTTTATTAAGATAAATAAATCAACCCTGCTAAATGTTTGTGTATTAATTTCAGTGTTCATGGGGACGTTAATTCATTGGTGAGGACCACCAACGAAATCCACAAACATTGATCACCCACGAAAAATAATGCTTCCTCAGTACGTGTATTTCTATTTAATATTGTGTATATATAAACTATAACTAATTTTGATATTGGGTAAAGCCTTGACTAGTTCTGTATTAACTGGTACTCACCCCACTCATTGTTTTGATATTGTGTAATGCATTCTGAGCATCTAGTGCTGCTTTCCTTGTGTAAAATGTGACAAAACAGCAACCTATAAAATACAAAAGAAAACTTAAAAGATTCTCTACAAGCTCAATTTTAACATGAATCTTTATAGCTGGAAATCTTTCCTTCTATTCAAGATTTGACACAGGATGCAAATGAAACCTCATAAATCATCAGTTCCAACTTTTATTAACAATAGTTGTGAAAACCTAAGATATAAATAAACAGGTCTAGAAATTGATTCATCTACCCTAGTTTTTTGTCTTCAGGTCTTAATAAATCCAGTAATCATCTTAAAGTCATGCAGCTATTTTCTCATATGGTAAAGTATTAGTTATAGTACATTTCATATACTGCTACCTACATCTTTTTGTTTTATTTATATATACCTATTAAGTTTACCTGACCATACCAATTCAAAATATTCATGCTAAAATTGTTTGCATGCTTAGTATTTTCTAGTTTTGTTCGTAAGCCTTATTTGTTTGCAGACGTCGATTCTCACATATAAAAAGCGTTTTATGCAGTGGTATAGTGTTATACAAACTTAGACAGTAAGAATTTATGTACATCCTATTTTTCTGTATATGTTGAATTAACTTTAAATTTGACATAATTTGTGAAATCACAGCTGCATGAGCCCCCAAACAGCAGTAAAGGTTTTGACCATTTCAGTCATGTTTGTTCCGATAAATTAATCTCATTATTTCAGTGATCAAATCCAGCAGTTTAAATTTAGAAAAAAAAAAAAATGAATTGTTCACCTTTATATTAATGCCCTATCTATAAGCTAATTTCCGACTAGGTGAAGAATATCTTTATATTTCTAGACATAAGAACAATGCCTGATAATGGCTACTTCTGTATCTTAAATCTATTGTCTGATATTTATGTTATTTATGTACATGTTAGGTATTTGCTTTGATTTTCTGATTACTAGTATAGAATTCTGATCTATTGAACATTAAAGTTCATTGTACATCTCTATTAAGACTGTGTCTATAGCTATTTATATGGCTGATCACTTTGATAACCTTTGGGTTTTGATTCGTAGAGAATTACAATACTTTGATCAGATTTCTGTCAGCCATGACATAACGGGGTATTTCTATCTCACACTCTAAAGTCAATAGGAAGGCAATCGGCCATGCTTTGTCGCTAAGAACAGATTAAACAAGAACAATATGTTAATCTTTTGAATGAATGACTTAAGACAAATAGGACTCGCGTTATTTAAATGTCGGCTTCACAGTTCTTCTGTGGCCCTGACAAAATCTGTCAGATCGAACATTACAGTTTAAGTCCACAACTTCCTTAGCAACCTGATGCTGAGTCCGGTTGCCACGGTGAGGCGTCAAATATTCAGCATCAGAGAGATCTGCCCCAGGTTTTCTCTCGACACAGAAAGTGAAGCTTTAATCTCAATGCACACGTTTTATTTGGTATCACTCGACTTAAAGTGAATGGTTCTACAATGGTAGAGCTCCATTAGCTGACAGGATAATTATTGTCAATTGTTTTTAGATCAGGCTTCAGTGTTAAAACACATCATGCCTGAAGCTATAACACCTTAACCTCCAACTTACAGAATGATAAACTAAAAAAGTCTAATTTCTCTGCAATAATTAGCATGATTTTATCAAGTGCATCCAATGTCACTTCTAAATGTGCCTTGGTTATAATAATGGTGATTATAAAATCACTGATACAAGGTAAAAGGCCAATTAATGGCAGAATCAGGGTTTTAGTATGTAAGTGTTCTGAAAATCCATGATCAACAGTATAGACAATAAATTTATAGGCACATTTACAAGGGAAAAATTATTTTATCACAGCATGTGTACAAAATGTGTTTCTTTATGCTACAAGTGTTCCCCATTAACATCTGTTTAAAGTTTTTTTTTTTTTTTTTTTAACAATGTTGTACACATGAGAATGGTAGACAGATTTACTTGAATGCGAACATGAAAAGATTGACTTTAATGTCCCCATCAAAAGTCCCCTCAACAGAAACTGACAATAACACAACACAACTTCTGATGTACAACAAGTGATTGAGAAACCAAATAAAAGGAGAAAAATTCCCCATGTACAGAAAAGAAGTGGCATGTATTTAACAAAAACTGTTGGGAGATCACATTCATCTCATTTAATTTCTACAAATCATATTCTACGAATCATATATAGATGGTTCCCCTCAATTCTTTATTACTTTCTGTTTACGAACCAATTTTTTTTTTATTACGATGGTATAACTGTTTATAGTTTACACAGTGCTAATCAATTAGAACTATATAGAGTAGCTTTATTTAATTGTGATAAAATTCAAAGAACTCCATGATTAACTACTCCGGTCTCTTTTTTCCCCTGATATCTCTCTTAGCCGGGAGCTACAAGCCATGGATACCCTGTACCTGACTAGGCAGGCCTCTGGTCGTTAGTTCTATATTCTACCACAGTCTCCATATTGCTTAGAAGTTAACACTATATCAAAGACTGAGATCTCTTTGTCAATTCCTGCGAGAATCGAACCAGTCAACATTAATCCCGTATTCAGTCCTAATCAGGAGTCTCGGTCTGCCATGCGTTTGTGCTAAATGGTGATTTGCATGCAGTAATCCTGCAGAATTTGCACACAGTAGATAACCTCATTTTATTCGCCCCATCAGAGCCGCGCTCAGATCGGTCTTTATATTGACAGTCTTATGAAGTCATACAATCAAATTAATGAAATAACTCCCCTATTCTATCAGCCTCTCTATCTAATGGAATTTCTCTGCCTTTGTTCTGTACCACAAAAAACACAAAATGCGGATGATATACAGTTTGAACTAATGAGTACATTCAAGGTTTAGCAACAAGTTACTCTTGGTTGTTTGGGGATCAAACTCCCTAGCTCTACTAATTGTAGATTGCCGATAAAATGCACTCCATTTGATTACAATTTCTGTTTTTCTTTTTTATATAAATGAAGCTTCTGCTTTAGGCATATTTACCCATTAATTAATTAGTGATACATGTATACAGTATGTAACTACAATTGAAGAAATAAGTTACTTTCAGTTTGCTTATTTTTTACTGAAAACTATTTGAAAAAATATTACGAAGAGTATTCTAATTAATATACTTTCAGAGCTCGATCACGAGAGTTTTCTCTTTAGGTTATTACATAGTTATCTACCTTTTTTTTGTTTCAATGCAGAGTTATCTACCTTTCCTTTGTTTCAGTACAGAGTTACCTACCTTTACTTTGTCCTGTGGCTTTGTCGCGTAGAACATTTAGCTGATACACTGCACCAAACTCTTCAAACATTTTGCGGAGATCATTTTCATCCATCGACCTTGGAATCTGACCTACAAACATTTTGATGGCGTCTGGGTCGGGCTCAGATTTCTGGACCTGCCCATTCATTGTTCTGAAAATATTTCAAAAATTTACATATTAATTTAGATATCAGTATCCAATTCTTCAAAGTATTCAAATTGATTAAACTTTATTCATTCTTTCAATTTTTCTCATTCAAACAGAATAGAAGTTGTTAAGAATATTTCAGAGTACATTTCTCACTCCATGAAGGTACAAAACAAATTCTGCATTAATGTAAGAATCCTTCATTGATGCTAACAAGGTTATAAACAAAAATTTATTAAACCATTTCTTGACAAGAAGTTCTAGCTGAAGACCTACAAATGATCTTCCAAAAAAATTAAATAGGCAAAAAATCTCATAATGTAGGTCACTATGACCTACTTTTACTATATCCTACAATCCTCAGAATTACAAGGACTCTTCATGATAAGTCGAGTAATTATAAGCAAAGCAAAGAGTATATGATATATTTTTCAAGTCATATTGGGAATAACTTCACTTTTTTTTTATGATAACAACCTCTTTTATATCCATTTTTTTTCTAACCTTTTTTTCCAATAAAAATACCTACTATTAGAGGTTTGGGATTTCAAATCATTCCTTTAAGTACATGCATTCATTTTTTAATCAAATACAGTTTTTTTTATAAATAGCAAACACTACAGTGTACTGTAAATTTTAACTGTAACTTTTAATATTTGGGTTATTCTCAGTGTAAAATGAATTCTCTTCCAATAGAAAAAGAGTTTCCCAATCCTTAAACACATTTTACAGAAAAGAAATTACGTCAATTAAGGAAAATCAATGAAATTGAAAAATATTTGAATTTGCGGAAATGAAATTATCTGAATACTCGAACATCTTACAACCTCTGATGTAAAGTCCCTGTAGATTAATGATTTAAGTCCTCACGATTAATTTACATCAGTTTCCAAAAATAAGAGATGCAGAATTTCTCACTGTTTGTAATATATAGGCATATTTATTCTTATTAATTTGATTTAGACTTATCATTCTTATTAATATATACAAATGTTTATTTAAATAAAGACATTTAAACATAAGGCCATTCCTTTTTTCTACATCTTTCTTTATTATTAATAATTAATATACAAAGATTTATTTACAATGGATTTATTTATGAGCATCTGTTTATAATGGATATTTGAGATATCACTCATATTATAAAGAAAATACTTCTCTGCTAGTTATTCAGGTCTAAAGTGGATTTTCCTTGGTATCAAAATTTATAGTAATATATGTATGCCCAACTTTAATCCAACTTAAAAAAAAAACAGGGCATGAAAGTTGCTCAGGGAAAATGAAATTCATAATATAATTTTGGTAGACTGTTAACTGCTCATTATAATTAAGCAATAAGTTTTGCCTTCTAATTTTTCATGAATTTCCATGACAGTGTATATATAGCCTTATTTGTTTCTCAAGTTCTACGAAAGCAGGAACCATGAAATTCACAATACTTTGCCCCACCCCACCCCTTTTATAATTCCTATACATCAAATTTAGCGGAAATTGTTTTTAAGATGTGAAAATGTTTAAAGTGATTGAAGTTTATACATTCATACATTGCAATACACTGAAAATATATATACATATATATATATAGTGAATGGATATTCAAGTAACCCCATAAGTGTTACCTTATTACATGTATTTGAAATGTTTATTAATAAATCAAAATTTGCATTCATTCATGGTTAAAATATTTTCCATAATTTTTATGCACCCTAAACAATATGCATCTCCCATCTTCACACATCAGAAACTTGAGTTTCCTCTGACAAAAATTCCATCAAAATCTATCACCATCTTTTTTTTAATAAAACACAATAAAACAGACCTTATCAATTCATTCAAGAGCCGTGTCGCTATCTTACGGGGACTTCATCCACTATCTCACGGTTTAAATAAAGATGTTGTAGATAGCATAAAATAAAGAACTTATCGCTAGATTGTTTTAAAAACTTGAGGGTATCATTAAATAATTGATAGAGCTTGGAGTTTTACGCTGCATTTATAGTCTCGTCCTCCACTACTGAAGAGATTAGTCAGATCTTATGACGGTAAGGTGTTTGGAAATGAAATAAATCGCATCACAACATCTCCTAACTGAACAAACACAGCGTGTACTTACTTTAAACACACGAGAATTTGATACTATAATCAGAGGCAATGCCTCCCGCGCTCCACGGGCGATTCGTTCCCGCTCCATGTGCTGCCCCCTTTATGTTCTTTATGCTGGTTGGAGGTTAAAGAAACTCGGAGCTCCACAATTTAGCTGTTTCCATTATGACGGCTCTTGAATTCAGCCAAAACTAAAATGCCTTCTAATTCTGTGTTCATTTTATGTAAAGCCCACCAGATCTTTTAAACCAGCAGTTTATTTAATGATTAAAGATCATTTTCAAAGATTGTGCCCCATGTGAACCAAGTTAATGAATCAGGAACAGGTTCCTAGTCGTTTTAGCTCGGTGTTCTACATGTGTTCTGTACAGGAAAGGAAAATATTAAAAACAGTTTTATGCAGCCTGAATATTTCTGAATGACACTGATGGCAATGAAATCTAAAGGTTAACAACCAAGTCCGCCAGCCTGTGACTTAATTTGATCCCTCAGGGCTTGGAATGATTTCATACTGTAAATTCTAATTCCATATAATTACTAATTTTTAGTCCAACATTAACATATCAAAATGTACTTTTTCAACAAAAGACAACAACAAAACATTTAAAACTCTAAGCTTTTCTATGATAAATGGAATCTTTGGTACATAATTTCAACTTCTGAATGTAAAATTTTATAATACCTCCAATCAAGGAATCAAAAAATCATAACCTTATAAACATTAAAGTCCGATTTCCAAGAAAGGCGAGTCTATAAATTAGCAATGGACAAACAAGACTGAATTAGTTTGACCTCGTGTTTGACAATCATTGAACTAATAAAGACAATGGTCGCGGAATTAAATACGGTGCCCTCTGTGCAAGTCTATAGATTAAAGTCAATCTGAAGCTGAGCTGATACAGAATGTAAACAAGGCTTTTTTTTTCTGTGACCAGAAAACGGCCTTAGGTTATGACCATAGTATTGACTTAATCAATAAATTCCCTAATATATCGCTCTGTCCTACTACAATGCACAGCTCCCTATTAATTATGCCACCTAATTAGATTGAATTTATGTAAATGCCCTCTTTGATATTCCCCACATATCACCAGTTCCTGAGGTCTTTCCCTTTTTTAAGCTTTGAATATTAAGCATTGAATTGCCTCAGGGAACAGGAGAGAATAATATACATATCAATGTCTACATTTCCTTAGCATAATTTAACACATAACTGTCACCACTTGATGAAAATGTTTAATTGATATCTTGGGTCCTCATACCTTCACGATATCACAGAAAAGCCGCTATTTATACCGGAATTCCTCCGCCTGAGAGACTTGCATAAAATTCACCTGATATACATCACTATGACAACTAACTGCTAGGGTTACCTGTCCAATGACCCCCCGAGTATTCCCTCCCGACATTAATTCACTCTGACATAACTTCCTCCTTATACCACGTCACACACCCCCTTAGATCCTCCTCTCACCTTACGCCGACTTCCCCGTCACTATAACTGGACAACCGCGATTTCTTCACACATCCTCCTTCCTGTTCGGAGTCCGACATCGCTTGGTACAATCCCAGAATTCCACTGTCCCTCTCACCAGCCCCGATTCTTACAACCGACCGCACAAGCATGTGTTCACAAAATGCACTCCGGTGTAATTCACAACATAATTCCAAAAAAATTTTTTCCTCCCTTTTGTGATGGGATATTTTTTTTTCTAGTTACAGCACAGCTTAATAGAAACCTCTTGTGTGTTGCAATGTTAAGCAACAAAAATTGGCATATTCAATTATTGAAATTCATAGCAGGAACAGGAGTCATGAGATGAAGAGGTACACCACTACTTGAGAGTTTTATTGCATGGTGGGAATTTTCTCCGTGAAGGAACTGTAGCGTTGGCGGTCTACTGTCGGCCCTGACCTCACTATCAGTGTGTCCAGAGTGTCCTATCACTGGGAGTGTCGTCACCCCGCACCCTATCTATAGACCTACAACCACCGCTAAACCAGCAATGATTTATCTAATCAAAGTGAACTTGTTTTTATTCCACGGGATAATTATAGCTTTGTGTACCATTCCTGCAACAATTGATTATTTATCGGCCTTAACAGTCACTTCCAAATAAAAGCTTAGTAACCTATCAATAATTCTTTATCATCTCAAATCAAATGCAGGTAATTCTTGGTGAAATCTCCACCGATCAAATTATACAGACAGACTCTTAATACCTCTAATGAAATAAAGCTGTCCAATAAAAAAAGGCTATTTAGCCTAACACACTAAATTGTTTTTTAATTTGTTGTAATATACTGGCAATTTACAATGAATAATAATAAAACTGGCATAAAGTGAAAATTAACAAAATAATTCTTTAGAGCTAGATTTATTCATATATTTGTATGCTATAAAATGGTATTAATGGAATATGATTATATCTGTTCATCAATATGAATTCAGAAAACTTTTGGTCAATAGGTCCCCCTTCCTTTTAAAATGGACACCAATAGTCCCCAAGAAACCGGGGCCTGGAAATTTTTGATCTCCACATATATTGATATAATTCCCCGGTTTTTGTGGAGTTTCCCCTCAACACCCTACTTTAAGCGGGAATTCCATACCCCCTTCTTCTTTCTTAACGTCCCTTGCTATTTCAGTTCTTGGGGACAACCACAGACACAGGGTACCCCTCTCATTTCCCCAACAATTCCTCTAATGTAGACACAAGTCTTCTCCTTACCACTGCTAAGATAATTACACTGTTTGTATGTGGTAACATTTTCACTTAGAGTAAAAACATAAACTAGAAGAGGTTCCTTAATTAATGCGATCGCTAATGAATGCTGAAACACAGACATCCAAATCGAGTGAAGAGCGGGAGATTGGTTCGTTCGGGGGAAACATGAAGACGGTCTCTCTCCTCTTTGTTTTTTTGAGGAGTTAATCCTATCAAACAGAGATATGCCTTTTTCATGGGGAATTAAGAGCCACCTCTCTCTTAGCTTCTGGCATCCGACACAGAAAATAAAGAGGCTAAAAGACTTCCTAAATTCCACTTGATGAACTCTCCAAATACAGCTCGTAAACCCCACAAAAATAGCGTATAATTGAAATGCGTTTTAAAACTCTCCCATGTTCAATTTCTTTATGCCAGAAATGAACTTTTTCAAACATGCTCTTCCTTCAAATTGATCAAGAAGTGACCATTTGATTCCTAAAGGGGGGAGGGCATATTTTTGAAATTAAATAAAGATTGGAAAGAAATAATCTGTCTTCCACTGAAAAGAATAATTTTTGAAAATTTAGGAAATTTTCTTTGAGGCCATGAAAACAAATTTTTTCTCCCCCTTTTCAATCAAATCTTTCCATATCTATTGATTTCAGATTAGATTTTATATTTGTTGAGTTCTTTTATTACATGTTTTGCTTATATAAGGTTTAATTGACTTAGGACTTTGAAATACCATGTCATCTTCTTATACATAACCCCAGAGAATGACCCCAGACATGGAAATAATCGGCAGGTTTTTATTGTCACTTTGGCCTCCGTTTGCTTTAACTTGACTGAAATACAGCAAATCAAAGTGGTCAGTTCTTATGAAATAATAGATCAAATTCCAGACACAACATATCTCTTTTTATTGGTAGTCAAAACAACCACGCAGTCCTTAGTACCACGTCAAACCAAATCCTTATTTACGGCCCTCGAAAGACAATACGACACAGAGGGAATAAATGATGACATCCAAAGGTGTTAAATATTCCATATCTACCAAGTATCATGAACTTCAGACAATGCCACATATATATGCCAAGCACCGCAATCTACAAACAATTCTATATATACCTAGCACCGCAAACTTCGGATAATCCCTGCACATACTTGGCATTGTTTTAGACCAGTGGTCAGATTTGATGAACTGATCGGACTTTCTGATTGCTCTAATTCTCCTGTGATAAAAGTCTTTTATGGCCAGGCAATTTGTGTATAGATTAGTCTATATCTGACCATAGAAACCTAATTAACAACAAAATATGTGTCTTTTCTGACCAAAAACAATCAAGTACTGCCAAAATGAACAGAAACTTTATAAACATTTATGCAGCAAGACTTTTATAGAATTAACGAATATGGGCTTGGTAACTTAATATGGTGTGGATGGACTTATCATTGGACCAATTTTTAACTTTTCAGTCTGATTTCCCAAATAAAAGAAAACTCTTAGCAAGACAGCTATCTTTCATTGGGAACAGTATCATAATTATAGGGATTATTATACTGAATTGGTAGAACTATTCCTTTAATCAACATAAACCTCTGAGATTCAGGAATGACAAAAACCCTAACCCCCTCATCATCGTTTTATGACTAACGAGATCTGGAGTTTTCAATCACTTCCTTGTCATCAATTCCGTCCTCTGCCTCGTTAATGGCCTGATCAATATGGTTCTAAAAGACAAGGTACTTTTACTTAGAAGACATCAAAACCTGGGGCCACAATGACATATCCCACACATATTATAAGGCTGGAGATGAGACTGCATGCATCAAAACCTGGGGCAGCAATGACATATCCCACAGAAACTATAGGCCTCGACATGGGACGATGCAGCAAGATCGTGGTACATTATACTGCATTTAATGGATCCTCCCTCACAAATCATAAACCTAGAAACGAGACCTTGCAGTAAGACCGATTCCTGACACTGCTTCTGGTAGGGACCTCTAATTTGTACATTTTCTGGCTAAACCTCCTCTAAAATTCCATGGTATTCAAGACACTGTATGCCACCAGCAGTGAAGAAATAATTTTTGGCATACCATTGATAACAGCGATGTAATCAAGCTAAGATTATGAGACTTTTCTATTGTCAACTTTCCTAATTTCTGAAGGAATATATAAACCCTTATCATCTGTATATGAGGTTTATATCTCCAAATTGATTTGATACAAAAGGCATGCTCTGCATATGAACAATTTCTAAAATGAGGCAAGTTATTAACAAACAAGTTGATGAAATGAGGATATCAACAGTCTCATAGAAAGCTAGACTATCATCATTTCACAAGTTCTATGGTTCTATGATAAAATGACTTGTCAGCAAATAATACAATCTATCGTTAAGTCAAATGCTGCCTTCGGTTTTTCATACTATTTGTTAGGCTATTGTTTACACACTGAATTGTCTATATTTCATTCCATTTGCCCAGTCATGACAAAGAGCAAAGGGTGGACCAGTCAGCAGGGTATGCCTGCTCCTCTATAGCACCTGATCCCACCTCTATGTATTTCATACATCCACATTTGCTCTGATCACTATTTCTACTGTTTCAATGAAGTTTCAAGATTGATTGCTGTTACCCATTTTTGTCTCATTTCAGAAACATATCTATATAGGCTTCCTTCAAGCATCATACCTTTGGAGGTTCCTTTTCAGAAACTTATCTTTCAGATTCTGTTCTAAGTTACATTTATTTCTAAGCCTCCTTTAAGTGACATTGTGTTTTAGGACTCCTTTTTTTCTCCACCCTTTTAAAGGTTACTTTTCATTTTGTCCCTAAAGAGGCATATTTTTTTTTTTTGGAGTCTTTTTTTCCCCACTAGATAGGTAATGTCTTTATTCTAATCTTGTCTCTTGTTTTTTACCCTGTATAGGACAAAATTTGCAGCTTTCAACCGGCAAGTGGTAGCATCCCCATATGATTGAAAAATTCTCAAGAGGGATGTTAAACAAGAAACAATTAATCATTCATTGTAAGCTTGTCTCTTGTTTTACCCTGTCCCATATCTTTACTTTATTCACTGCTGACTGTGATGGTACTGAGTTTACCAGTTGTCTGACATCACAGTTAGACGCGCAGTATCAAATCAAAGTGACACAAAGTACTATAGTTGTGGTGAACTGTGTGATTGATTTAACGTGACATGCACATCTGTACACAAGCTCTGATTAAATACAATACAGGTTTTCACTGATGATTCTGTCATGAAGAGAGCTATAATTAGACAGCTATTTTAGTGCACAAAATATGTGCATACTAATAGTGGAATGTTCAGTTCCATGCATAATGATGTAACAGGTTGCACATTAAATTTATGTGCTGCTTGATTGCTGTCCAATTTGCGAGGTTGATAAAACTCCCAATTATTTCGTTACTTTGAATATTAAACAGATAATTATTCTTATAAAACTTCAAACAGTATTCATTATCTCAATCTTATTTTTCACAATACTCATTGCCAGATTCTTTCAAAACCCATAGGGGTTGGTCCAGGGAGCACAGAAAAGTTGACAGTACGCTGTGGTCTATTGGATCACTGAGATGGCCACAAGGTCACAGGTTTGAATGCTTAACGTGAAACTGCATTCTCACTGGACTACTTAAGTTGGGGGTTAAGGTTATACTTGACCCCTCGATGGACTGATACCCAATCACTGAACTGGTGCCCTGCTACATGAGTTCTGGGACACATGCCCTGGAACGGTGCCCACGTTAAAGTTGTGTCTACCCGTCTCTGGTGTATTTAGGACAAGAGACAAGTAAATCATCTAAATGCTAAAACCGAGGCTAATTTCTTACCTAGTGCAGGTCTCCATATTTGAAAACATGTCATCTTTCATCATGCCCCTTCTTTAAAAAAACACAAAAGCCTTGGACAAAGGTGTTGTCAATATGATGAACCTGTACAATGATAAAAAGGACAAAATTCAAATAAAAAATTATCAAATATATCAATTTTAATATTACATATTATGTGGAGAGGAAAGAACTCTCAATGAAAACATCAACATGAACCATGACACATTTCTCCAAAACATATTCAACTCCAAGATATGATCAGAAGTTTATGTTATTTAACATGTTTAAAGGGTGTAGCCTTGCCCTTAAATCCTTTGAGTTAATTCCAATAGTCATATGATGCTAAATC